ACCCCTGATCTAGCCTCCATGGTGCCAATCCATTATGAGAGCATGGCCGATATAGTCATATTTTACGACTTCCTTGTTAGGGAGCGGTTGTCTATTCCTTATTCCCCCCCCCCCCCCATAGCATTTGGCTTCTCTGGGTTGTATGAACACCATCAGAGTCACATATTTTATGTTTTGCTGGCAGTCTTATTATGTTTACTCAACCCCTACAAGTATGCTTTGTTGGTTTAAAAAAAGACACTGTGTAGAAGTTTCTTTATTGTATATTTGCTGAAGATTTTGCTATATCACATCGTACCCTATTCTTTTATTTCTGTGTTATGTGTTTACACCATCACACTATACCCTGCTAGTTTGATAAACTGCTATTGATAAGCCAGACCTACTACATCTAGTCAGTCAATTCCCGTCTGACCCATCCGTCGTGGCCTATTGATTTTCGTCTATGCGGCTTCCTCTGACTGACCGTTGGGAGTTAGACAAACCAACCTGATTGTCGGTCAGCTCAGTAAAATTCTCTCTAGGTGTAACAAATATTTCTCTGAAGTCTCAGATAGCTAGTCGGCTCTGTGGTTAAGTCGACGCAAACGCTTCGTAATGCCGGGAGGCCGGGTTCGATCCCAGCTGCGGGCCATGTGCCTTGCGTTGGTTTTGACAGTGGTATCAAGAAAGCCGAATATCCAGTTGACAATGGCAAACTACTGGACTTAAATTTGCCTAACGTCCTGTAAAGGATACGCAACTAACCTCAGATAGCTCGCTCAGTTCGCGTGGATCTTTGCGAGTTTTCCGACAGTAATGAAGCAACACTGGTTGTAATTCCCTGGCGGTCAAAGGTAGCGAGTGTGTGTATGTATCATTTCTCACGACTGTTGATTTCTTGAGACAGGGCTGTCTTTGTCTTGATCGATGTTTATTTTAGTGCTGGTTCTACTTTACTGGTGATAAAAGGGTCGTTTGGTCTCAGCGTTCCCCTCCATGGTGGGAGCGGGAGTGGGATGGGGATGTCGTCAGTGTAGGTAAAGTGGTGCAGGCAATAGTCACGGTATGTTTGTTTTACTGACGGTGTGATAATCTTGATTTTGTTACAGTCAGTGAAACTGAGTGGTCAGAGTATTGCGTGATTATCTGTAATATCAGAAACTTTGAACACATGCCGTGGAATTGTAACGGATATTTCTGACCTGTCTCGTAGCTGGCTTGTTCGTTCGTATTTATCTTCTTGAGTTCAACAGCTCAGTAAAGAGAGTCGAGAGTAGGACAAACCAGGTTGACATTTCTGTGTTTTTTTCATACATACTTAAATACTGTCTTCTTTTAACATTTTTCCAATCTGCTTACACCGCCCCGCCCTCCACAATCTACTGTTTTTCTCTGACATCTACATCTTTCATATGTTGAAAAAAAATTCCTTGTCTTTAACGTCTACATATTTCATGTTTTTCTTCTTATCTGTTGTGTACTCTAACGTCGACATTTTTCATATCTTCTTCTTCTTTAAAAAAAAAAAATTTGCTATGTTCTGTAACATCTACATCTGTCATTCTGCTTTTTCTATCTATCGTTTTCTTTAACATCTACATCTGTCATTCTGCTTTTCTGTCTACCGTTTTCTCTAACATCTATACTTTTTTCATTCTCCATATGTTATCTACTGTGCCTGCTAACATCTACATCTGAAATATTGTTCTCCTTGATTTGACTGCTGTGTTCTCCAACATCTACATCTGTAATATTGTTCTCCCTCTTGACTGCTGTGTTCTCCAACATCTACATCTGTAATATTGTTCTCCCTCTTGACTGCTATGTTATCCATCATCTACATCTGTAATATTGTTCACCCTGTTGACTGCTGTGTTCTCCATCATCTACATCTGTAATATTGTCCTCCCTGTTGACTGCTGTTTTCTCCATCATCTACATCTGTAATATTGTTCTCCCTGTTGACTGCTGTGTTCTCCATCATCTACATCTGTAATATTGTTTTCCCTGTTGACTGCTGTGTTCTCTAACATCTACATCTGTAATATTGTTTTCCCTGTTGACTGCTGTGTTCTCTAACATCTACATCTGTAATATTGTTTTCCCTGTTGACTGCTGTGTTCTCTAACATCTACATCTGTAATATTGTTCTCCCTGTTGACTACTGTGTTCTCCATCATCTACATCTGTAATATTGCTCTCCCTCTTGACTACTGTGTTCTCCAACATCTACATCTGTAATATTGTTCTCCCTGTTTTGACTGCTGTGTTCTCCATCATCTACATCTGTAATATTGTTCTCCCTGTTGACTGCTGTGTTCTCCATCATCTACATCTGTAATATTGTTCTCCCTGTTGACGGCTGTGTTCTCCATCATCTACATCTGTAATATTGTTCTCCCTGTTGACTGCTGTGTTCTCCATCATCTACATCTGTAGTATTGCTCTCCCTCTTGACTGCTGTGTTCTACATCATCTACATCTGTAATATTGTTCTCCCTGTTGACTGCTGTGTTCTCCATCATCTACATCTGTAATATTGTTCTCCCTCTTGACTGCTGTGTTCTCCATCATTTATCATCTACATCTGTAATATTGTTCTCCCTCTTGACTGCTGTGTTCTCCAACATCTACATCTGTAGTATTGCTCTCCCTGTTGACTGCTGTGTTCTTCATCATCTACATCTGTAATATTGTTCTCCCTCTTGACTACTGTGTTCTCCAACATCTACATCTGAAGTATTGCTCTCCCTGTTGACTACTGTGTTCTCCATCATCTACATCTGTAATATTGTTCTCCCTGTTGACTACTGTGTTCTCAATCATCTACATCTGTAATATTGTTCTCCCTGTTGACTACTGTGTTCTCCAACATCTACATCTGTAATATTGTTCTCCCTCTTGACTGCTGTGTTCTCCAACATCTACATCTGTAGTATTGCTCTCCCTGTTGACTACTGTGTTCTCCAACATCTACATCTGTAATATTGTTCTCCCTCTTGACTGCTGTGTTCTCCAACATCTACATCTGTAGTATTGCTCTCCCTCTTGACTACTGTGTTCTATATCATCTACATCTGTAATATTGTTCTCCCTGTTGACTGCTGTGTTCTCCAACATCTACATCTGTAGTATTGCTCTCCCTGTTGACTACTGTGTTCTCCAACATCTACATCTGTAATATTGCTCTCCCTGTTGACTACTGTGTTCTCAATCATCTACATCTGTAATATTGTTCTCCCTGTTGACTACTGTGTTCTCCATCATCTACATCTGTAATATTGTTCCCCCTGTTGACTGCTGTGTTCTCCATCATCTACATCTGTAGTATTGTTCTCCTTGTTGACGGCTGTGTTCTCCATCATCTACATCTGTAGTATTGTTCTCCTTGTTGACTACTGTGTTCTCAATCATCTACATCTGTAATATTGCTCTCCCTGTTGACTACTGTGTTCTCAATCATCTACATCTGTAATATTGTTCTCCCTGTTGACTACTGTGTTCTCCATCATCTACATCTGTAGTATTGTTCTCCCTGTTGACTACTGTGTTCTCAATCATCTACATCTGTAATATTGTTCTCCCTGTTGACTACTGTGTTCTCCATCATCTACATCTGTAATATTGTTCTCCCTCTTGACGGCTGTGTTCTCCAACATCTACATCTGTAGTATTGCTCTCCCTGTTGACTGCTGTTTTTCTCAAACATCTACATCTGTAGTATTGCTCTCCCTGTTGACTACTGTGTTCTCCAACATCTACATCTGTAGTATTGCTCTCCCTGTTGACTACTGTGTTCTCCATCATCTACATCTGTAATATTGCTCTCCCTGTTGACTACTGTGTTCTCAATCATCTACATCTGTAATATTGTTCTCCCTGTTGACTACTGTGTTCTCCATCATCTACATCTGTAATATTGCTCTCCCTGTTGACTACTGTGTTCTCCATCATCTACATCTGTAATATTGTTCTCCCTGTTGACTGCTGTGTTCTTCATCATTTACATCTGCAGTATTGTTCTCCCTATTGACTGCTGTGTTCTCCATCATCTACATCAGTAATATTGTTCTCCCTGTTGACTGCTGTTTTTCTCCATCATCTACATCAGTAATATTGTTCTCCCTGTTGACTGCTGTTTTTCCCCATCCTCAACTATGTTCTCCATCATCTATATCTGTAGTATTATTATCCTCCCTGTTATCTAACATCTACAACTGACCTCTTCTCGCACATATAAAATATAAAGCAAAACTACCTATTCACACATTGCACATTTCAGAAACACACTGTCTCTATGACACATTACACACTCACTGTGGGAAAAACTGGGTTATAATGTCAACTTCTTGAACAGCTCACCTCACCCACTATGAACAGCTGCCTGGTTTTGAGCGGGAGTGACATCTGTTGCTTAATCTATGCGCTGCATTTAGTCACCATCTCATCTGCTTTAGGGCCTGTATGAAACACAGCCTATTGAGCTAGCTAGACAGAGAGAAGATACTTTTTCTCCATAGTGTTGAAAGGGCCAGTTTGTCCGGGATTTTTGTTGGCACAGGATACTGTTACCTCAGCTTGTTTTGTTTGTGTAGTTGGTTTGTGATTGAGACCAGGTAATGCTGTCATAAGTGCTAGGTTATATTTTGAGAGCAAGAAGGTTGAAAAGGGTATCGAAGTAGTGGGTTGAAAAGTATATGAAGAAAAAAAGCTTTTCCATTCATTAACTTCTGCCTGCTGCAGATTGGAGTAATTTTTCACAACATTAGTGAGGATTCAGACCTGGGTCTCTCGTATGAAACCGAAACCTTCTCTACTAAGACTGGTTGAAGATTTGCCACATGACTTTAGTGATTGTAACTGGCTGTCACTCACGTAGGACATTTTTAGGAAATATCTTGACAGTGAATAATGACAGTAATATTAGGTATCATCTCTTCTCATCCCTAGCACTCAATAATTCATGGGATACTGAAGGTATTAAGCTATTATTTTCATGTTAGTGTCTTTGCATTTGCATGAGGTCTGACTTAACCTGGCTGTCACAAACCAAAAAGATGTCAGATGTGTCGGCCTAAACATACAATGGATAGTAAAACAAAAAAGTCCAACAGTTAAAAAAACAACTTAACAAATACACCTTTTCCTTGACTTATGACTTGTGAGACTTGTGAGACTAGTGAGACTAGTGTGACTTGTGAGACTAGTGTGACTTGAGACCATATTCACCTATGACCATATTAAATAAATAAACAATAAAAAAAAAAGTATTATTGAGAAGTATTTTTGTTTACAGTAGAGTACATATTATGTATTTCTCTCTCTCTCTCTCTCTCTCTCTCTCTCTCTCTCTCTCTCTCTCTCTCTCTCTCTCTCTCTCTCTCTCTCTCTCTCTCTCTCTCTCTCTCTCTCTCTCTCTCTCTCTCTCTCACACACACACACACACACACACAATAATTATATTTAATAGATTTCAGTTTTATGCTTCATGCACAATTATTATAACTTGTTCAGATAAAATAGTGTTGAAAATGCCAGTTGGACTTATGACCAGATTGAGGTATAACCTGTTACTAGAGACGGAAATCACTCGTAAGTCATGGAGACCCTGTACAGGAAAAAAGAAGTATCTTTGCATTCAACTGTTAAATTGACATATGTACATTCTCTATGTTATTCAGGAAAAAGAGTGAGGAGATCGGCGGCAAGATGACGGCAGTCAGTCAAGACGAGATCATCAGCAACACACGGACAGTGATCCAGGGCTTGGACACACTGAAGAATGACTACCAGCAGATTCTCAATACCTTGAATACCATCAAGAAAGAAAATGGCGACACAAGCCTGGTGGAGGAGAAGACTAACATCTTACAGAAGTCCTTGGAGACCATAGAGTTGGGTCTTGGCGAGGGACAGGTGAGTGTGCTGCTTCATTTTGTGAAGCTCTTGCTGTGTGGTTTTGTACTTCATGTTTGTGTACAGTTAGTTCTCTGTTACTTGCAACCCCAAAAATAATAAAAATAAAAAATTGGTTCTTTCTGAAAAACCAACCACAAACAGGGGGTGGTAGATTAAACATATAGTTTTGGTTAGGGTTAGGTAAATGCGTGAAAACCTTGGCCTTGGAAGAAACGCTAAAGAATTCTGGCAAGCTATATAGAGCCAGTTTTAATCATTGAGGTGTAGTCTTTCAGAAGAATCCTTAGAATTCCTTGGACAGCTAAGAAGAGCAACCCAGATGTTTTGAAATGGCAAGTGCTCAAAGACAACTCTTCACAAACATCAGAGACGGTCATAATTTTTTGGGGTCATGTAATGAAAAGAAGGAAACTGGGACATGTTGTAACCACTGGAAAGATCTGTAGAAAGAGAGACAGGGGAAGAAAACATGAGAAGATTTTTGACAGCCTTTTATCGTGGCATGAAGAGGTGTCAGTACATGAACTGTTACACACAGTCGTGAATTGTGGAGAGAGTTACGATCGCCCACTCCAGTTAGCTAGGCACTTGATGATGATGATGATGTACAGTCCTATCCCTCCCTTGTGTTTGGTGTTTTGTGTGTGCACACATTTACCATTAAGCATTCATCAAGTAAATACTCTTTAAATTATAATATCTACCAGATTCTTGGTTTTCTCCAGTTCTTTAACCTCAGTTTCCTTGGTTGTAAGCACATAACAGTAGCTGATTAGGCTTTATTTCTCAATGCCCCAGTCATTACCTGTTGCCTTTCTACACACTCCGGTGCAGTATCTGATACTTGTTATGCCATATTTTCTAATTCTGTCCATTCTAGTGTGGCCGACATCTGTTTGCAAGCACTTAATGTTTATTTTGAAAAGCCTTTGACTCAGATTAACAGGGTTTTCTGGTCGTCTATTTTTGTTAGTTATTAGGACAGGTGAGTGGGCTGCTTCTTTTTGAGGTTCTTGCTGTTTGCAATTGACAGTGTTCAATTGGACAATTACAATTCCTTACCAGAGACAAATTATCCACAAAATACTTCTGTTTTTGTGACTCAGCATGCAAGACTTCTGTGCGCAGACTAAAGTCAGTGGTTTTCAACTTTTTCAGGTGGCGCCTGCTTCTACCCCACCCCCGAACTTAACACAAAATGTGATTTAAAAAAAGGACCCCCTCCTCCCCCCCCCCCCCCCCAAAAAAAAAAATTTAACACCACAAGCACTAAAAACAAGAACTGTATTATACCACTGATGAGATTTTTAACAGTAGATGTACAAAGTGCTCATGAAAATGAAAACGTTCTTGGCTGTTTAAAAAAAAAAGTTAACAAAAAATAATTTATACTTAAAGTGGAAAAAAAAATTAGTATAACAGATTATTATAAGTACAAATGCAGTTTTAAAATTGCCTGACACCCCCCCCCTCCCCCCTCCAGGCTGAAAACCACTGGACTAAACAGATTGCTTTGGAATTATTGTGGATTATATAAATGTTTTCAAAGGTCTAGGGTTCAAATCTACATTGGGATGTGTGTTTTTCTGGCTTGAGTTTAACTTCCAGATTGACCCAGCAAAAAAATCTGTCTTTTTCTCACCACTTGATCCACTCGAATCTTATAACTCCACCATTTTAGTCGTTTTCTTTTTGGGCACCAGTTAATGAATGCCTAATGTTTATAAGTGTTTTAGTTGCTCTCTGTTTCTTGTCATTACAGCAGTTCTGATTGGATGCTAGAGTAAAATATTATAATTTTGATATTTGTTTGTAATACTTATGCTGTCCTTGTTTCTTGTCATTACAGTACTACTGATTATATGCTAGAGTTATTTGTTTATAATACTAAAAGGGAGTCGCCGTGGCGGAGCAGCTAGACGCTCGCTGCAGATTGGATGGTCGTCGGTTCGCCCCCTGGCGAATCCGTTTTTTCTCTCTCCAAAATGACCTTAGCTACCTGGTCGACCCAACCTTGAGTGGGTACCGGGTGCAGTCCTGGGAAGTAGAGGCGGCCGGCGTGATGCTGACCACATCACCCATCTTGTGCCGTTTGGTCTATAAAAATATAGGTCTAGCCCTATATGCCCTATAAAAGCGTGGAAAAGGGTCCTTTACTTTGATAATACTAAAGAGTATGTAAAGGGTGTTATTGTTAACCCCTAGTTACTTGACAGGGGGTTGGATACAATTTGACTCAGTTGATTCTGACATGATTGTGCTTTCTCCAGGTTATGATGGACCTGTCCAACTATCTTCAGAAGGTTGAGGCAGAAAAACAGAAACTGCGAGCACAGGTCAGGCGGCTTTGCCAGGAAAATGGCTGGCTCCGAGATGAGTTGGCTACCACACAACAGAAACTGCAGGTAGGGAGGATAGCAGCATCGTAGCTTGTTTTAACTCATTCATTACTAGTTAATACCTCATTTGTTTACTGATTATTTCTTACATGGTTTGGTTTTCTAAACACTCTGTTCCCTGTATAGCTGTTGTACAAGTATTGGGACAGCTGCCTTCCCTTTCTTACAGCATAAGACAATCCAAATCAGCACATAAAAACAACTCATAAAAAAAATATTCATTCCCACTCTGTCAGCCAGTGCCTGACATGGTCACTCACAACAAACCGGAACAGAATATTAGCAACCATGAAAATGAGATGTCTGCAGGAGTGGCTAGAACAAATAAACTCGGGAATGAGATCATAAAAGAAAAAGTTCCAACATAAGTAATTGTAAATTATATCCAGAGAGACAGCATATCAAATGATTTCCCACTTGGAGAGAATGCCTAGTGAAGCTGTACTGTACAAGGCATACACCAAAAGAGGAGAAGGTCGTAGATCACGAGGTAGACCATGAACAAGATGAACAGATAACATCAGAGAAATTTTACAACAACATTATGTGTTCGTGGTCAAGGCGACCAGAAGAGCAAGAAGCAGAACTTTATATCTCCCTTGACACCGAAAATAATGATAGAAATTGGGGAAGAAGAATTAGATGTCTCTTCAACCCCCCTCCCCCTTCCATGCGAACTCAAATGTTAAGTAGTTCCTTTGATTCCTTAGTGTTTTTAACTCCCCCGCTCTGTATAAACATTTGTTACAGTCCCATATTTAGGAGTGAGTGTAAAGTGATACCTGCATGGAAGTGAAAGAGTTCATTTTTTGTGTTACTTACTTCAATATGTTACTGTGTTCATTTTGTGTCACTCCTGTATTTGTTAAATGTGAGGGATTTGTTTCTGGTCTCAGCCTTACCGAAGCTGTTAAGTGGACAGGACACATACAACATTTCTTATTTATAAATTGTATTTTAAATTTCATAATATTTATTTGCAAAATAAATAGACATATTATTTATCTTAAATTGTGTATAGTGTACATCACTGGATATTGTGTGAACCTGGATATTGTGTGAACCTGGATATTGTGTGAACCTGGATTTTGTGTACCTGGATATTGTATGGACCTGGATATTGTGTGTACATGGATATTGTGTGTGCCTGGATATTGTGTGAACCTGCATATTGTGTGAACCTGGATATTGTGTGTACCTGGATATTGTGTGTGCCTGGATATTGTGTGGACCTGGATATTGTGTGTACATGGATATTGTGTGTGCCTGGATATTGTGTGAACCTGCATATTGTGTGTACCTGGATATTGTGTGAACCTGGATATTGTTTGAACCTGGATATTGTGTGTGCCTGGATATTGTTTGAACCTGCATATTGTGTGTACCTGGATATTGTGTGTACCTGGATATTGTTTGAACCTGGATATTGTGTGAACCTGGATATTGTGTGAACCTGGATATTGTGTGAACCTGGATAGTGTGTGAACCTGGATAGTGTGTTAAACCTCTATGTTTAATTTGTAAAATACACATATATATCTTGTATCTGTAAGGTAAAGGTCCCTTTACACTCCAATGGTGCATTGGGCATATCAGTCTAGACTCTTAATTTTATACACCAATCGGCTCTCGTAGGGTGATGTGGTCAACATCCCGGCGGCCATTTCGCCTTACCTGGACTTTAACCTGGTACCTATTTAAAGCTGGGTTGACCTCGAAGCCAAGGTCATATTTAGAAAAATTCTGGCACGATGCAGATTTGAACCCATGTCTCTCAAATCCACAGTCAAACATCTAGCTGGCACACCACGGTTGCTCCCTCATGCCTAAAGCCTTTTTTTTATTTGTTCATGTTTATTGTGCTGTTTTTTTTTCTAAAGTGGACACTGCATGCTCTGAATCCTGAGTTAAAATCTTGTTTTGACCTTAAAATTTACTTCACCGTATCTCAGCTCAGTGAACAGAGGGTGGCCACCTTGGAGGAAGAGAAGAAACACTTGGAATTCATGAATGAGATGAAGAAGTATGATGATTCAGATAACAGCACTGCTGCTGTAAGTAACATCTGGTGTTGTTATTGTGTGTGATGTTCTGTCTAGGTATGCTCTTTTGTGTGGTTAAATATTGTTTTGGTATCACCCTGTCTGTTATGTTAGATACTCTTTACGTGTTTTTGATCCATAGTGTTTGTGTTAAAGATTAAAGTTGGGAGGATCAGCTTCATTGCACTGTGTTTTATCCCATATGGCTCGGTCTTTCTCCACAGAATGGCTAGCTGCCTACCGAGAGTGTCGCACAGTGCACGAACTCCATAGCTTCGGTGATGATCCCCAGGGATCTCTGTAAAATTGCACTTGTAAACTGAATGATGCAGCCGTAAATCGAACCTGTGACCTTCAGAGCGCGAGACAAATGACTTGATAACTTCACCACGTCTGTGTGTGTTATTCATCCATCACAAGTGATTGAAATCACTCTGCATCCAGACTTAATAATGATCAATGATTGTGAGTAAGGAGATGACTAGTGAGTCCACTTAGAGCCCAGAAAGTTCTGGAACAATGTGGTCGACAGCTGGAAGTGACAGTTGACTTGGGATTTGCCACACTGTAATTTCTGGTCTTCTTCATTCTCTCTTCCAGTGGTACCTTTGCTGGCTGGCAAGTTGATACACCATGTGTGAGGGTTGTACGCCATCTAGAACAGTTTTATGCAACAGCCTCTCCTGTTTCTGTCTTAACCCACTGACTGCCAAGCCCGTTAACCCTTGCACCTTCCCAGAAACCAAACATTTTAGTGTTTACTAAAAATACCATAGCTTCACATCTTCTAACAGAGTAGCCTAACAGTGCTGCCCGGGCATAATTTGGAGTTAAAAAAGCATAGACACCCCTTCGAAATCGGAGTGTATCTGTCTGAGAAGTAAAGAAGCAACAGTCTGCACACAATTAAGTCAGATCTGATTGTTGAAATCTTCATCAGTGCATCTTGCTGACTTTAGTATATCAGTATGTTTGCAGTAAGCAACAGTACCCATCATCATCATCTGGTTCTGCTGTTATCAGTCACATAGGGCTCACAATCTGTATGAATTTTATGATAAAAGGGAGAGATACCCCCCATAAAGTATCTGAATTTTATGATAAAAGGGAGAGATACCCCCCATAAAGTATCTGAATTTTATGATAAAAGGGAGAGATACCCCCCATAAAGTATCTGCATTTTATGATGAAAGGGAGAGATTTACCCCCCCCCTTAAAGTATCTGTGAATTTTATGATGAAAGGGAGAGATACCCACCCATAAAGTATCTGAATTTTATGATGAAAGGGAGAGATACCCACCCATAAAGTATCTGTGAATTTTATGATGAAAGGGAGAGATACCCACCCATAAAGTATCTGTGAATTTTATGATGAAAGGGAGAGATACCCACCCATAAAGTATCTGTGAATTTTATGATGAAAGGGAGAGATACCCACCCATAAAGTATCTGTGAATTTTATGATGAAAGGGAGAGATACCCACCCATAAAGTATCTGTGATTTTTTTGATGAAAGGGAGAGATACGCACCCATAAAGTATCTGTGAATTTTATGATGAAAGGGAGAGATACCCACCCATAAAGTATCTGTGAATTTTATGATGAACGGGAGAGATACCCACCCATAAAGTATCTTTGAATTTTGTGATGAAAGGGAGAGATACCCACCCATAAAGTATCTGTGAATTTTATGATGAAAGGGAGAGATACCCACCCATAAAGTATCTGTGAATTTTGTGATGAAAGGGAGAGATACCCACCCATAAAGTATCTGTGAATTTTATGATGAAAGGGAGAGATACCCACCCACAAAGTATCTGAATTTTGTGATGAAATGGAAAGCCACCCAGGGAGTGTCTGTTAATTTTGTGATGTAAGGGAAGGACACCCATAAAGCAGCTATTAATTTTATGATGAAAAGGAAAACCACCCATAAAGTATCTGTTAATTTTATAATGAAAAGGAAAGAGACACATTATCTATCTATACATTTTATGATGAAAAGGAAAGACGCCCATAAAGTCTCTTATAGTATATAATCACAAGGAAAGACATCCATAAAGTGTCTTTTAATTTTATGATGGAAGGGAAAGACACCCGTAAAGTATCTGTTAATTTTATGATGAAAGGGAAGGACACCTACAAAGTATCTATTCATTTTGTGATGGAAAGGAAAGACACCCATAAAATGTCCTATTTTTAGGATGAAAGGGAAAGACACCCATAAAGTATCTATTAATTTTATAATGAAAGGGAAAGACACCTACAAAGTGTCTATTAATTTTATGATGGAAGGAAAAGACACTCATAAAGTGTCTATTATTTATGGGATGAAAGGGAAAGACACCCATAAAGTATCTATTAATTTTATAATGAAAGGGAAAGACACCTACAAAGTGTCTATTAATTTTATGATGGAAGGAAAAGACACTCATAAAGTGTCTATTATTTATGGGATGAAAGGGAAAGACACCCATAAAGTATCTATTAATTTTATAATGAAAGGGAAAGACACCTACAAAGTGTCTATTAATTTTATGATGGAAGGAAAAAACACTCATAAAGTGTCTATTATTTATGGGATGAAAGGGAAAGACACCCATAAAGTATCTATTAATTTTATAGTGAAAGGGAAAGACACCTACAAAGTGTCTATTAATTTTATGATGGAAGGAAAAAACACTCATAAAGTGTCTATTATTTATGGGATGAAAGGGAAAGACACCCATAAAGTATCTATTAATTTTATGATGAAAGGGAAAAAATAACAAACAACCTGTTATTTGATCTCTTCAGCCTCAGTCAGAGAAAGAAGCAGAGACACCATCACAGTTAGATGATCTGGGATTTCCTGATGGAGATGATGATGTATCTCCTGAAGGTCAGTGTATGTTGCTGTTCCTCTTGTCTGCCTGTTGTGGGGACCTAGGGCACTGGCCTGCTACTGCAGATGACTTAAATTTGAATCCACATCCAGTCAGATTAAAAAAATTAACCTTGGTTCGGGGAGTGGGCGTAGGAGGTTTGTGCTTGGTATAGCGGTTAGATGCTTACCTGCAGATCCAAAGGTCATGGGTTCAAATAAAGAGTCAGATCTGGGAAATGAAGAGGGCCAATGTGATGTTGACCACGTCACCCACCGAATGCTGATTGATGTATTAAATATAGGTCTAGCCCTATATGCCCAGTACACCTAAAGGCATATAAAAGGGTCCTTTAATTTGAGTAACTGTTGTTCATCATCATTTAAACTGGTCATCCTACTTTATGCACACATTCTAGTATACATGAAACCCTTAATAATTACACCCTGTTTGAAGATCATTTTTTCTGATTAATTAAATTATACAAGATCCCAAAACGCAAAATCACTACTTGCGAGATGAGATGCCTGATAAAAACTGTCACCCTAACCATCCGAGGTCGAGTGAATAATAATACTGTCAGACAGATTGTGGGAACGGCACCTTGTACTAGATACATTGAAAAACAGCAAATCAAGTGGTTAAGCCACCTTGTACTATACATTGAAAAACAGCAAATCAAGTGGTTAAGCCGCCTTGTACTAGATACATTGAAAAACAGCAAATCAAGTGGTTAAGCCACCTTCTACTGTACATTGAAAAACAGCAAATCAAGTGGTTAAGCCACCTTGTACTATACATTGAAAAACAGCAAATCAAGTGGTTAAGCCACCTTGTACTAGATACATTGAAAAACAGCAAATCAAGTGGTTAAGCCACCTTGTACTATACATTGAAAAAACAGCAAATCAAGTGGTTAAGCCATCCCGTTAGAATGCAGCAACATCAAATACCATCACAGGAACTACATCTCAGACAACCGGCTACAAGAGAAAGAAGATAGCTACGAAAAATATAGACCAGCAACATTAAATAAAGCCAGTGCCAGCCAGAATTCACTGGATGGCAAATTATTCCTCTCCCTGACACGTAATTTCAGAAGTGATGATGATGATGATGATTAATTAAAGTTGCAATTAATCAGCATCATTTGAACTGGCCGTCCTACTTCCTGCTGCTACATTTTAGTATATATTAAACCCTTAGTGACATCCTGAGGAGCATATCATGGATTTTCTGCCCATTGTATTCCGGTGTGCAAGGCAGTGAGCATGCTGATAGATTAACTGCTGCCACTTCTTGGGTGGTGAGCTACTTTATGATAAAGTAGACTTACCGACAGCTCTCTGGGGTGAGATAGGTAGTATAGTAGAATAGACAGTGAATCCATACATTGAAATACCAATTCAACTTGGGGGGGGAAGGGAAGAGGTTTTAGAAGATATTCAACATTGAAGGGAAACACAGACTGTTAATCAGGTTGCAGTTGGTACTGCTAGCATGTCAGCTCTTCATAGGCTGCTGAAGAAGGAGATGGAGCACATGTGGGGATGTCCCGAGTGCAGTGATGTTATTTCTTGATTCATTTATGAAGATAATCTTTTCTGAATAATTAAATAAGCAGTTAATCATCATCATTTGAATTGATCTTAATACTTCATGCAGCTACATTCTAATGTATATGAAACTTACTATTTCTATATGATGGGATTCACTATGTGATCACCTTTTGTATATTTGAAATTTCTAAAGCTTACTAGTTTCTGCTCACACCTCAACAGTGCTCTCCCCGTCACAACCTAGTGCTATGGCCCATGCAGCCAGCGGAGGCTACGAGATCCCAGCCAGGCTGCGAACGCTGCACAATCTGGTCATACAGTACGCCTCCCAGGGCCGTTATGAAGTGGCAGTTCCCCTGTGCAAGCAGGCACTGGAAGACTTGGAGAAAACCTCCGGTCATGACCATCCAGATGTCGCTACCATGCTGAACATTCTGGCCCTGGTTTATAGGTAGGTGGTGCTTGTAGCTGACAGGCTTTTTACCCATACATACAAACACTAAGAAAAAGTGAGATATTACACACACAAACACTAATAGAGAGCCAGAGATTATGTTAAACACACACAAACACTAATAGAGAGCCAGAGATTATGTTAAAAGCACTAAGAAAGAGCCAGAGATTATGATAAACACACACAAGTACTGATAGAGAGCCAGAGATTATGTTAAACACACACAAACAATAATAGAGAGCCAAAGATTATGTTAAACACACAAACACTAATAGAGTGTCAGAGATTATGTTAAACACACAAAACACTAATAGAGTGCCAGAGATTATGTTAAACACACACAAATACTTATAGAGTGCCATAAATTATGTTAAACACACACAAACGCTAATAGGATGCCAAAGATTATGTTAAACACACACAAACACTAATAGAGTGTCAGAGATTATGTTAAACACACACAAACACTAATAGAGAGCCAGAGATGATGTTAAACACACTTGAATATCCAGAGACAGGTAGAGGTAAGAGAGAGGTGGGAGAGAGTGAGTGAGAGCAATGTCTGTTAAAAATGCACAAACACTCAGAGAGAGAAATAGACATAGAGGTAAGAGAGGGGGAGGAAGAGAGAGAGAGCAAGAGAATTGTTTGATAAACACACAGGAAGAGAGAGAACGAGAGTAATGTTTGTTAAACACACAGAAACACCTAAAAGAAATAGAGAGATATAGAGGTAAAAGAGGGAGGGGAGGGAGAGAGAGAGAGATAGCAAGAATAATGTTTGTTAAACACACACGAACACCCAGAGAGTCATAAAGGAAGTTTGTTGGCACTTCTCCATCTTTCCAAGAATAATGTTTGTTAAACACACACAAACACCCAGAGAGTCATAGAGGAAGTTTGTTGGCACTTTTCCATCTTTCCAGATGGTAGATTTATATTGTGATTTGGGGAATCATGGATGTCACAGCCAGCGATGAGTGTGACAGGTAAGACCCATCCATGTTCATCAAAAATCTTCCACAGTTAGAGTATAGGACTTCAGGACCTTTGTTGCCATCGCGTGTATTTAGTGTGGTTCTTCTCAGATCCTCAGCTCTCAGCTTTTCTGCAATGATTTCTCCCTCACGCAACACGGTCAGTGTCATAGAGGAAGAGATGTAAATTAAATGCCATTGAACATCCAGAGAGAGAAGGGGAGAGAGGACAAAGAGAGAAAGGGAGGGAGGGGTGAAGGAAGATGCCTGTGTTAGAGAACTGCTTAAATATTGTTTCCATTGCTGAGATATTAAACATACAATATTCATACCATATCCTGGAGACCCAGATTCAAATCCTCAGTAACATTATGGGTTTCCCCTGTCGGGGGCAAAAATAAAATCCTTACCTGCACACCCCTTGGCGGCAGCACTAGTCATGCGGCCCTAAATCCGCTGCATCAAAGAACACCCCGCCTATGTTGCAGAGGTGGTAAATACCGACCTACATGGGGATACATTATCCTTTAAAGGTTGTGTTTGTGTTCTTAATATAGGAAGGAGTCTGGTAATGGCTTCAGTCATGACTAATTTCCTTTGAACATAAATAAATTAAGAATGACCTATGCTGTTTTTTAGGAAGCATTCTAAAAGATATATGCTTTAAAAAATCAAAATGAGAAAATTCTGAATAGCATGATGAAAATCTGATTTGACTAGACCACTCTACAGGCAACATCAGAGCCACTAATTACCAGCGAAGTGCATCAAAAAATAGTTTAAAAAATAAATTCTATTGTTCTGGGGCCCCATTTTCAGGAATACAGGAATAGACCCACTGCCCCCAACAAATATATCATAAAAGTCAACTTATTAGGGGTGTTTAGTTCAAAGGTGGATTGCATCTGCCTGAGGCGAGGAACCATCAGTCTGCTTACGAATAAGCCAGATCTGAAGAAAAAAATGGATATGCATGCAACACTTAAGTTCTGGAGCAAGACTTAAAAAGTCCAAGAAGTGGATTACAACCAGAACTTTCTGCCGGAGTTTACAGCTGGTGAGCGTAAAGAAGATGAAGAAGATATTGAAGTATTTGAACAGGAACAACCTAGTACCTCCTCCAGTAATGAAACTACAAAACCTGTAATGGAAATGACTCATAACATAAAAGATGTCATAAGTATAAATCATAATACTGGTTATGGAAGAGCTATGTGATTGTATGGAGTACCCAAACAAAGCTGTGAAGACCAACACTCACCAGGAGCTGTTGCAGACTAGACCAGTGGTTCCTAATTCACTCAGACCTGCATATCCCTCTTTTTTTTTGTCAAGGACCCCATGCTTTGAAAATAGTCGTACTGAAGAACTTACTATAATTTATAAATATTAAAAGGGGGGTAAGGTTTAAAAAAAAAAAAAAGTAAAAAAAAAAAAAAAAACATGATGTCACTGACTCCCTAAATTTGTTCACTGACCCTAACCAAATGGGGAAACCTGGACTAGACTATTGCATTGACAATACAAATGTTAACTCTGTGGTGATATCGGAGTAAATTCAAAAATCATTAGATAAAGCAACTCACAGAATGGGCAAGGAGTGTTTCATCAGGTAAGATCTTTACTATGGAAATGCCCGTTCTGCTAATACTATTTCCTTCCACCTTGGGCTGTAGAGGTTTGCCAGAGAGATTGCCAGGCTTCTCTGTCAGCAGTTTTCTTTTTGGCTTTGTTCCATTCCAGTTTTCTTTTTGGTTTTGTTCCAATCCAGTCCCCTGTCAGTCAGGGACTGTCGGATGTTGTCTTCCCAGCGAACCCTGGGTTATCCTGGTGGTCTGGTTCTTTCGTTCTTTGCCTCCCATGCCTGCTGGGGTGACCAATTCTCTGTGGGAATGTCACATTTAGAAACATACGGGGACACTTGATCCTCACAGAACAATTTGATTGCATTTACCAGTTGTTTCTGTATATTCATCCTCTGTTGTCAGCTCTGTGACTAAGTCGATGCGATCGCTTTGTAATGCCGGGTTCTGTCCCAGCTGCGGGCCATGGGCCTTGCGTTGGTTTCGACAGTGGTATCAAGAAAGCCAACCGTGCAGAAAGCAATGGCAAACTACTGGATGTAAATTTGCCTAGAAAAACCACACAACCGCCAGGGGCTGTTAGGGTTGGTTCTGCAATGTCCTGTACAGGATATGCAACTAACCATCCTTTGTTGGGAAATAAGGCATCCTGTAATGAAATGAAACTATGTAAACTAGAGGAAAATAAAATAGAGGTTGAGAGATTAGTCATACCTGTTGATTAAATGGATGTATTAGGCTGTGTGTACAGCAAACAGATGATAGGGGTAGATAGCATCCAGAGACTTTAATATCAGCTGAGAATGTGTACTTTTGAGTTTGTCCTGATTGCTGTGGGATTGCTTCCATTAATAATATATATATTTGGGATGAGAAAGAATGTTGTATTAAACTAAACTACAGACACACATTTTCTTCTTCTGCCCAATGGAATGTTGACTTTCAACCAGCTTGTGCCAAGCTTTTTCGAAGTACAGTGTTAGGTCTATATGTTTTTGGACTCAGTGCCATATGTTTAGGTCTGTGGTTAGTATTAAGCTAGTTCTCCCTCGACTTTTCAGGCTAAATCTCATACTTATTTAGTGGGGTCGGCCTGAGACTTCTGCAGGTCAGAGGATTCATCCTGCCTCTATTTGCTGTGGGAAGGCATAGTCTGTTCTTTTTTCTTCCTCATAAGGGGGCTCCAGAACCTACATGGGATGAATATGTTGTGAACAAGATGTGTTATTGTAGTTACTTCCATATTAATCTATTTGTCAAGGTTTTACTTATCTATAAATAAATGGATGTAATTTGTGTTCACCTTTACATATTCTTGGTTATAATCTTCTTTATTAGAACTTTAGTCTTACCTGACCATGTAGTCCTTAGTGACACAATGTGCATGATATTGCAGAGACCAGGGTAAGTTCAAGGAGGCAGGCAACTTGCTTCATGACGCACTGATCATTAGAGAGAAGACCTTGGGAGCTAGTCACCCTGCTGTGAGTGAGAGCACCTATTGCAACTTTGACGATCTCCCATCAGTATGTGCAGATGACATCTCCTGGCACAGACCCAGTGATCGTGGTCCCGATTAACTTTTTTTTTTCTCTCAGTCCCCGGAAATTATTTCAGCTGGTTCTGTTTGAAATCATAATGCTAAATTGAAGCTTATAAATTTAGTCTAAATGAAACTAAACAGTAACCTTATTGAACAGAAGGAGTGACAGTGATAATTGTTTTAGAGGAGGGGTTAATGTAGTAACTGAAAGAGTTGTAAGAAATGAAGACAAGCGAAGCATAATTGGGCTAGCATTCAATACATAGTGAGTTGATTGGCATGAAATGAGTTAAAATGATAGCCAGGTTTTTTCTTTTGGGGTATCTGTGCCACAGTTTCACCTGTCCATACTGATGACCACTGTAATCCCTTGAAGTTAAACCTGTCTGTGCTCATGACCACTGAATCCCTTGAATTTTCAGGAATGGAAGCTACGAAGACAAGCAATACACTGGCCGGTCTACTTTTACCGAGCAAATCTGTTCACTTTATTCATTTGTTAATTTATTTTACAATCTACTTTATGCCTGTTTGCAAAGGGATCAAGGCAAATACAAAGAGGCTGCCAACTTACTAAATGATGCTCTTAACATCCGGGAAAAGACTCTTGGGCCAGACCACCCAGCTGTGAGTTGTGCACTGTTGAATGGCCTGCGACTCTTATTTCTAGCATGTGGTGTTTATATTAGTCATGCATGTACCTCGTGGACATTTGTTGTAGCTCTGTAGTTTTGTCCCACAGCTCATTTCACATCCCCTTAAAATATAAATATATTTGCATTTATTCCGAGATAGTGCTAACCCTGTATAATTTTTTTATTTTTTATTTTTTGATTCATAGATTACTGTAAATGAGGTATCCAAGATATTTAAATAATGAAGACACAAATGATACATTGCAGAATTGATTGCCGTCGTGTATTTTTCTGTATCTCGTCAGGTGTGTTACTACATACAATAAAGTACAAAATATTAATCATTTTAACGGAAAAACACAAATCACATTGCCCCTTATTATGTGTCTATCTTGGCACAGAAGTAGAGACGCAGTGAAATATGCCGAGCAGTAAATTTCACAGTATGTTGTTTGAATCCGAATTCAAATGTACAGTGGGAGACATTGGTTTGAATTATCCAGGAAGCTAAAAATATAGGTGACCAACTGCTGGGTCATCAGATACTTCGGGAAAAGGGGGCTTCATGGATGTGTTTCCCGGATGGATTGTTCAATTCACAAGTGCAGCTAAGGAAATACCCGGCAATCATCACTGGAGCTACAGCGGTCAGGTTTTATGCAATGCTCTTGCCGGGCAGCTAGTCGCTATGTGGAGAGAGGCCGAGCCATATGGGATAAAAGCCGGTGCAATGAAGTCGATCTATTTGACTTTAAACTGAAGTAACAAGTTAATATACTAAACTGCTCTCTGTGGCTTGAGTTTTGTGAATGCGCTTCATAATTCTGAAATAAACAGTTTGATTCAGCTGTAGGCGATATAATAATGATAATAATAAATTAATATATATTGATTGGCACTCAGGTAAGGAAAATAAAATCAGTGGCAGTTTGTTGGTGCTGCAGCTATAGTAATAAATCCTGCAGCACTTAGACTCATGTTATGACTGTGCTGTAATACTTTATCCCAGACATATGTATTGATACATGTCTGTGTCCAACATTCTGTTACTTTGTTTCAGTTTGTCACCTTCCTTCTTATTTGTCTTCTTCCTCATCTGGCTTGAGGGACACGTTTTGTCTACAGCTAAGTCCTGATGCTATTATTCCTTAGCCAGCCTGATTTCATATCCGTTTTCAATGTTGCATTTTGTTGCCTTGGCTCAGCTTCACACTTATTTTCTTATTCTGCTTTGTTCCACTGATCTAACTTTGATAGAAATATACTGTGTAAGAGGCCAACATGTCTGTTTTACCTTGAGTCACAGGCAGGTGCTATCTCATATATATATGCATATATTCTAGCTTTCTTTATAAGTGCCAATCAAAAGAACAGATAGAAGACAAAATATATTGGTGGTGGTGGGGGGTGGGGAGGGATAGAATATCTGTAACCACAGTGCATTGTGCGGAGAGTTACTCCAGTAACACACTGCATTGTGTGGGAGTGTCACTCTAGTAAAACACATTCAATTGTGTTTGAGAATCACTTCAGTTAGACACAGTGCATTGTGTGGGAGAATCACTCCAGTAACACACAGGGCATTGTGTGGGAGAATCACTCCAGTAACACACAGTGTACTGTGTGGGAGAGCCACTCCAGTAACACACAGTACATTGTGTGGAACGAAGAGCTGTGGGAAGGTTAGCAGTAATTACACACACTGTGTCAAGTGGAAAGCCTAATCATACACAGTGCGTTGCAGAGGGAAGAATAGCTGTTGTCTCACACAGTACTTTGAGGAGAGAAAAGATATTATCGCTGTGATTTGTAAAATTGTCCGATTGCAGTAATTAATAAAAACAACAAATACAGCATATGTATCTTCTGTGACATAGCAGCTGTTTTTGTTATCACCTTCTATTACATTTCTTTTCTTAGTTACATTTAATGTGTTAGTCATGGTTTTCAGTAGTTACATTATTTATGTTTTTTGTTGGCCGATATTGTTTCTGTATTTTATTTATACTTTTTTTTTGTTAGCTATTTTTCCTTTGTTTTTGTTTATCCTTTTTTTTTAAAAATTGTTTTTTTTTTAAATATACTTTTTTTTGGTTATTTTTTTCCTTTTTTTTTAAATACTTTTTTTTTTTTAATTAGCTTCTTTTGTTTCTTTATTTTGTTTATACTTGTTGCTGCCTTTTATTCTTTTTTTTTTTTCACTTGACTCACAGCTTGTTTTTATGTTATATTAATTTGCTTGAAATGATTTAATTTTACATTAAAAATCCTTTTTTATTTTCACAATGATGATGATATTCATATTTGTAATTAGAATTATGGAAATGTTATCTGTTGTAACTGTGTGTTGCACTTCTTTGACTTTTGCAGTAGAACTTTTTGCTATTCTTTTGTAATTATTTTTTTATTGAACAAAGTAGATTATTAGCAGTCACTTACACAGCAGTGCATACATTTGCAGAAGGTTTTGTTTGTCACCTAGGTGACACTAGTGGATTCTCTGTTCGTTATATTTACATTATTATTCACTTGCTTCTCTCTGATCGATTGCTTTATTTAATAAGCAGACAGATTATTGCATGTCTAGTCAACCAGTCCATATGTGCTCAGATCCCCTCCTCAGTATATCCCACAGCGTGTAGTGGCTGATGACACCAGCTCTGTGCTAGTTTACTTTTTTTGCCCTGACTTTCAGCAAATTTTTTTTTTTGTGTGTCTGGCATCACCTCTTTTTAACTGACAGTCTGGTCGTGGTTGCAATTTCACAGTTATCACTTTTCTTGCAAACCTTTTTTATACTCATAGAGTATTCAGCATATTAGCCTGGGCCATTGCTTACCTCCACTCCACTCCACATTGGCCATACCTGCAAGCCTATCAGCTTGCTCATTTCCTTTCACACCCGCATAGCCTGGCACAACAATGAAACTGATCTTTGTCAGCTGTGACTACATCAGAGACTCAAGCCACTGTCTTTGGTCCCGACCCATCTCTGTCTTCTTAAGCGTACTAATTAAGTCACTGAGAAAGCATTCTCAAGTGAAGGTCTATGTCTCTAGCCAAGTTATTGCTTTGGTCACTGCCATGACCTCTGTACTTTGTATAATCAAGGCAGAAGGACCAAAATCTCCAGTCACAGTTTTCCCCTCCAACCTGAACCATAAAAAGCCTTGAGCTTATCATGTGACGAACAACAGTCCGATCTGTACAAATTACAGCATCATTCTGAAGAGAATTCTAATGCGAGTTGATCACATACAACTTCTTTTTTGTTTTGTTGCATACAGAATTTGAAAAAAAAAGGGGGAGGGGGGTGTGTTGAAGTTAATTGTATTCATTGTTTTTTTTACATTTTGTCATAGCATTGGCATTGTTCCATGATTGTTTTGGTTGTCTTTCTGGTGGCTTTTGATAAGAATGTTCTTTAAAAGACTTGGTTAGCTTACACTTAAGGTTGTTGCCTCGATGATGGTACACCTTACAGGAAATGCTACAATGGTTTAGTTTACACAGAGGAATTTAGTCATGAGAGGAACAGTCGGCACAGAAACAGCGCTGAAGTACATACAGAAACATTTTGTTTATTTACCAGTTTTTCATATGCAACAGTGAGGAACCTTTCATTTGATTCGCACCGGTACAGGAACGGAACAATTATGGGAAAACCTAATTGCGGTGATGTTGAAACCTCGACTAGCTAACTAACTAACATACAGAAACAAGGGATCAGATGGTTTGCCTACTTAAAATTTCCTGCAATGCCATACCATACAAAGCATATATCAAAGATGAAAAGGATGTAGAACGCAAGGCAGATCAAGAACAAGATAGACAGAGAACATCAGAGAAACTCTACAATTATGTGATGCATCAGTGGTCGAGGCCGCCAAGAAGTAAGAAGCAGATCCTTACATCTCCCTCGACACCCGAAGTGGTAACAAAGGAAGGGAAGAAGAAAAGTTTAATCTTACAGCTTGGTGGCCTTTCATGAAAGTCTACAATAGTTGTGTTACACTGAATGTTGGTGCTTCCATCATGGTGCCCATATAACCTCTGAGTGAGTACATTCAATTACTCTTTTCCACTCTTCCAGGCATATAGGGCATATACATCTAGACCTAAATTTTATAGACCAGTCGGCACTGAGTTGGTGATGTGTTCCAACATCATACCAGCCGCCTTTACTTCCTAGGACTTTACCTGGTACCCATTTAAGGATGGGTCAACCTGGGAGTCAAGGTCATTTAAAAAAAATGTCTTATTCCCGTTTGGATTTAAACCCCTAACGATTGGATCTACAGTGAGCATCTAGCTGCTAGACCCTGGTGGCTCCTGTCTTTTAGTGAATTATATAATAAATATAGTTCAGTTTTTGTGAGGATGCTGGGTATATAATATCCTAGTCTCATATTTTGTCATAGACCTCATGACACTCGGCGGGTGGATGTTGTTAGTATCCTGCCTGCCACCTTAACCTCCCAGAACTTTCCTGGTACCCGTTTTAGGCCAGTGATGGGGTTATAGTTTTAATTTTAGTTTCCAAAAAAAAACAAAAACACTAAGTGCATGGTTATTGAAGCTTGACTTTGGTAATATAATCATGTAACTGTCTTTCATAAGAGAATATGCTTGAGTGTCTTTTGATTTGATGTTTGTAATCTATATTGTATTCTGGTTGCATTTTGTTGCATATTTTTTTTTTTAAGTTTGTACCCCTCCCCCAATGATTTTTTGCTGTTGTGTAATGTTTATTCACATATGTACTGATCTGAACACTGATTTGCTGTGTGTATCTTTTATGTGTTAATCTCCAACAGTTATTCTGCATATCTCTGTATCTATGTCATATTATATATTTTATTTTTATTGTTTTGTCCCCCCCCCTCCCCTTCTCTCTGGCTTTCCTTCCTTCCCTCCTGTCTCCATCTCTATCTTTCTCTCTCTCTCTCTCTCTCTCTCTCTCTCACTCTATCTCTCACTCTGTCTCTTTCTATTTCTGTCCACCTCTGTCTGTCTCTTTCTGTCCCACGCTTTCTCTCTCACTGTCTCTCTCAGGCCATGTCTGTCTGTCTGTCTGCCTGCCTGTCTGTCTGTCTGTCTGTGTCTTCCCCCCTATCCCTCTTCTCCAGTTACCCTTTATACTTCCTTGTTTCCCATTTTACTCTCACCTTCTGGGATAGATTTTTTTAAAAACCGTAAATTGACTGTTACCTTATTTTTCCCTGTAAAAAATTGCTCCATGTATATAAGACAACTACTATGTTTTTAGACCTGAGTTAGGAAATAAATATTTTAAATACATTCCATGTAAAAGACAACTCCCCCCCCCCCCCCCCCCCCCCCCCTTCCCACTTTTAAAATTATAAAAATTTGGGAAATCATTTCCTTGTATTCACACAGAAAAATATGTACATTTGTTTGCACTGCTACAGAAAAACTGTTTTGTAACAAACACCCTATTCCCCTACCTTAAGTAATAAAATCCTTTGTTAACTCTTTAAAATTCATTTACTTTGTTTCTTTAGTAGCTGTTTCTTGGTTAACTCTGTAAAAAACATCATCTTAGGTTGCTGCCACATTGAACAACTTGGCTGTGCTGTACGGCAAGAGGGGCAAATACAAAGAAGCTGAACCACTGTGCAAACGTGCTCTTGAAATCAGAGAAAAGGTAACGTACGCTGGATGGAGTGTGATCAGTGTAAGGTTAGGGTTATGTTTGTTGTCCTATTTGCTGATATAATGAGAGGTAGAGTGGAAATTAATGGATGAGGGTGTGCTAAGGTTTGAAAAGTTAAGGGGGAGGAATGAGGGAGGTGAGGGACGAGTGAAAGTGACAGAGATAGTAGATGCTGAGGAGAAAGATGGATAGGGAAAGTGAGAGAAAGAAAGAGAGTATGAAAGAGAGCAGTTGAAGTGAGTATGGGAATGAAAGGATGTTGAAGATGGTGTCACTTAATCAAAGGAGGAGAAAGAGTATGTAGGAGAAAATGAATGAATGAAAAAGTGTTAGGAAAAGTAAAGGTGTGTGAGACAAGGTGAGGAATAGAAACAAAACTGAGTAAGAGAAGATAATGGAGAGAACGTATGTTCATGCATGCAGTAGTAAAAATTTATTGCCATTTTCAAGAGTGTCCCAGTCGAGAATTTATGTTGAGAATTAAAGGCTCTGTGTTCCACATGTGGATTCCAGTGCCCTATTTGGAGTAGGGGTGTTTCTTTTGAAGGCAGAATGTTTCTACCTGAGGGTAGGAACCAACAGTCTGCATAAAAATTAACTAAATCTGTAAAACGGATGTGCATCATAACTCAGGTCTGGAACAGGGCCAAAGTCCAGAAGTGGCTGAACAACCAGGACTTTTCACCAGAGGTAACAGTCACTGAATGCAAAGAAGAAGATAAGAGAAAGGTATGAGCTCACCTGCAGTCACCCTTATGTTCAGCAACACTAATTCCCTGTGCACTTGTCCAGGTGCTAGGTAAGGATCACCCAGATGTGGCCAAACAGTTGAACAATCTGGCCTTGCTGTGTCAAAACCAGGGCAAGTATGAGGAGGTAAGCATTATCGTATGTCGTCTATTGTGTGTAACTGATGTGTGTAACTGATGTGTGTAACTGATGTGTGTGTAACTGATGTGTGTAACTGATGTGTGTAACTGATGTGTGTGTAACTGATGTGTGTAACTGATGTGTGTAACTGATGTGTGTAACTGATGTGTGTAACTGATGTGTGTAACTGATGTGTGTAACTGGTGTGTGTAACTGGTGTGTGTAACTAATGTGTGTTTAGGAATACTTTTATACAACAGCGAGTGTTGGAAAATGGCAGCAGAAACAATACATAAGCTAGAAACTTTTCACAATTAATGTCTAAGGAAAATCTTGCGAATATTTTGGCCAAACAAGATCACAAAAGAGATCAGGAGGAAAACAAAATGTTCATCACAGGCTAACATTTTCAGAGAAAGAAGATGGAGATGGCTTGGGCATGCTTGTAGCAGAATGCCACGTGGCACTTTTTCAAAGACATCTGTCTGCTGGAATGTCGATATAAAAAGTAGGTAAAGTAAGTAAACCTGGAAAAGAACAGTAGAAAAGAAAATGGAATGTAAACTGAGACGGGTAACCATAGGCAAAAAAGCAGCAGATCGGCATAAATGAAGATCACTTATGGATGCCTTACGTGGATTGAGAATAAGCTGTACACACATGTCGTAATTATAACTGACTCACAGAGTATGTTGAGAAAGTTGGAGACAGGCATGATCCGTGCAGAGTGGCAAGCATCACTTCAGAGGTCCCGTAGTTAGCGTCCTTTGATTATTTTCTCAAGGTCATGCTAGTATGTTGGGAAATGACCAGGCAGATAGACTGGCTGGGTCTGCACCATTAGCATAACTCTCTCAGCCAGCATTCTTGGCAAGACAACCAAGGAGGGTTGGCATGAAACTATTTCATCTTTGGGGAAGTTTTAGCTGGAACCAATTATGAATGTGCTTCAAAGAACCCAACAGGAATTTGCCCTGGACCTATACTTCATTGGGAGAGGAAAGACAGAAGAGGAAGAGTGTCTGTAAAGACCTCCAGCACAACTTTGAAGTGTCAGATTATCTTAGCCATTGTAGAGTTCTCTCAGATGAGAGAGAGAGAGAGAGAGAGAGAATGTGTGTGTGTGCTGGTGGGTACGCGCATGCTTTAAAAAAAAAAATGTGTCCACAATGAAGGTTGTATAAGTAGGCAGGTGTTAAATAAACTGTTCTTTTAATGTGTGGTATCTGAAAGTGGCAGATGAAATATATGTTGGTTTCTGGAATCGATTTATAATTGATTGTTGTGTAAAGTGTACCATTAGGGCTGACTTCATTACACCTGTCCACTTTCTTTACTTTGATGACAATTGAAGATCGTCTCTGATTTGTTATTTTTAATGTGTTTTCTAAAGCTGACCGTTCGTTCTGGCTGATTGCTCTTATTAAATTCTGAATATAAATCAACATCGCAGCAAGTGGGACATTCTCATAAGCGCTCTGTCCCCATTTTCAGCAGCAAGTGCAGAGTTTCAGTTCTGATTGTACCAGTAACAGTCTGTGTATCTGTCTGGCTTTTGCCCCCTGAGTGTTGAGCGTCGTCGGCCAGATTCCCCAGGTCACCCCTTGCAGCACCATTCTCCTCAGACTGTGATGATCTCTTTGTGTCTCCACACTGATTTCTCACGCTTCAGCACATCAGCCTAAACATCTAGTGGTCGCTTCCTGGAAGCTGAAGGTCAATACCCTGACGGCATGTGACGACAAATCCTTCATGGCTTGTGGCTAACAACTTGTGCTTTCAGGTAGAACAGTACTACCAGCGGGCGCTGGAGATCTATGAAGACAAGCTGGGTCCTGATGACCCTAATGTGGCTAAAACTAAGAACAACCTGGTAAGGGCCACACTGTTCTGTGTGGTTCCAGGAGTCTAGATTTGGTCCATATGCTATTTCTGGTTGATGGAGCAGCTTTTGGTGTGCATTGATCTTCATTCTGTTTTTTTTTTCATTATCTGTGCAAGGCAGGATTTCTTGGCTCCCCCTCCTTCCTTTATGTTTTAGAAACATAAAAGCACCTTCCGATTTATAATAGTAATAGTTATTTTATTTTAACAGTAACTGTTGGAAATCTTAAATGTCTAGGCATTTGTGTTCAAAGACTGGAGATTTTACAAACAGGCCAGATCTGTAAAACCGATGTGCATGCAAAATTCAACTTCTGGAACAGGACTAAAGTCTAGAAGCGGACGAACAACCAGAGTTTACAGGCGGTGAACCCTAAGAAGAACAGAAGAGATGCTAGTTTGTTGAGGGCATGTTTTTTTTTATTTAGGAGAAAAGTGGCGGGGGGGGGGGGGGAGACAGATTTGTTTAGTTTTTGAGAGTACCTGCCTTGCGCATAACCTTGTATTTGATTTTTCTTTATTTATTTGCTTAATGGTTTTTTTCTTCCTTACCCCTGCTGTTTCTACCCATTTTTTTGTTTATATACTTATGATATGTTTTCTTTGAAGAAGCAAATGGTGCCGGCCACATGAGGAGGGGTTAATATTTATTTGTTTAGGTATTTACTCATAGAAAGTCAAATTGTGTGTGTAAAATTTGCTGACTTAAGTTTATTATGCTCTTTTGGCTAAGATATTGAAATTTTAAAGGTTGAATACATATCTAAACACTTGGCTCTGTCATTAATTTATGGTGGTTGGAAAGAGTTAAAAGCAAAAGTTGCAAATTGTGTACATTAATTGTGTTGCCCCAAAAATTCTTAGAAATAGTCGCTTTAAAATAGTAAAATAAAGTCTGTAGCCAAAAGAAGGGGCAGCTGAAAGAATAAGAAGCAGTTAAACCACTTGCCAGCCACATTAAAGATATTGATAATAATTGAATTGATTCAAGAGCTGACATCACAGTACTCAGGGTATTCCCATAGGCGCTCCATTCCCATCTTTAGCAGCCAACGCAGAGTTCCATTACCAGTAGTGCCAGTAGCGGCCTGATTAAATGTCCGTCTTGCTTTTCCTCTGAACGTCGAGCATCAGCCACATCCCCTCGTCACTCCCTGCTGCATCACTTTCACCAAACTGGGATGATCCATTAGCTCCTCCTAATTGTACACATGCTCCCATATGGCCTTGACCACATATGCTTTATCTTGAATCAGTATTCCACCAAGTTGTGCAGCCAACCAAGCTGATGTTAATGAATGTGGGATAAACATAGATGATGACAAAAATAAATATACTGTAGACATCTTTTCTAACGTGAAGTCCATTAGGTCTAATAGTTATTCTATGTTGATTCATCTAGCTAACAAAATTCAGCCATAAACTCATCAACAGGTCCTTTACAGAATGTTGTTCTTGCCATGGTACGCCTGAAAGTCTCTCTTTCTCTTGCCAATTCTCAAGCCCTATTTGCTTTTATAGCCAATGCATCTTTAATGTCTTGTATCCGACTGCATCCTGGTGCTTTACCGAGGTCTGACTCTGCCTCGACTTCTGCAAACTGTACCCTATATCACTGCTTTCTCCAGGCCACCACAATGTTTAACATGGACAAAATACTTCAGCTTTCGGGACAGGATGCCATTTATGAGCCAATTCTCCCTGATGTTCAGATCATGCAGGACGTCTTGGTTTTCTTCTTAGTCCATGCTATCCTTAAAAAAGACAAATAATAATACTCGGATTGACATGAAAAAAGAACAAAAGAGGAAAGCCCAAGAAGTAGATCTGACTAACAGGGAGGAAGTTGGAGGCTGACTAGAAGTGATGATGCTGGGAAGTTTGACATCTCGTTCATGGAAGACCATCAGGGTCAGAAATGATTGACAGTACTTGAGGCAGATGGTTAGGGACAATCATGATTGCTAAAACTGCACAGCATGGACTATTAGAAGAGTTATAAGCTTAAGTTGACTCCCAAGAAGGCAGCTTACACACACACACACACATTTTTCAATAACCTATAGGATTACATGTTGGCTCTGTGGCTAAGTCGATGCGAACGCTTTGTAATGCCGGGATCGATCCCAGCTGAGGGCCATGCGCCTTGCATTGGTTTCGACAGTAGTATCAAGAAAGCCTACCGTCCAGAATGGCAAACTACTGGATGTAAATTGCCTAGAAAAACCACACAACAGCAAGGGGCTGTTGGGGTTGGTTCTGCAACGTCCTGTAAAGGATACGCAGCTAACCTATAGGATTACATTCTGAAACCAGTAATGGTAAAATTAGTTCCACAGGGTTAATACTTTGGTGTGTGAAGCGGTAAGGCTTCTTCACATATTCCAGTTCATAACATGAAGTGGGTTGTTCAGTTCCCTTCCTTGTAACCTTCCTTTCCCATGGAATTCCAAAACTCATCTGATACCCATTTTTATGAAGCTGGATTGAACCCAGATTCATTGTCTGTATGATTCTAAAAAAACGGGTCATGATCCCGTGGAAATTCCTTATAAAAAAAAATCTTTAAAAAAAAAAACATTTTACACAGGTCACTAAGAAATTTTATAATTTATCTTCGGTTAAAAAAAAAAATGTCTGAATATATAAAGATATTTAAGGCAGTGATCAGCAAACACAAACAGAATGAAGTATTAAATGGAAGACATGCCATTACCTGTGTCATCTGTCATTAAAGGTGTGGGAAATTTGTGACCTCAAATAGGCTTTAAAATCAGCTGTATGGTTCATGGAAAGCCCCTAAAAAATTTAAGTAACTAAAGTCACATCCTAAATACTGTATAAGTGCAAACTCAGCCAGCAGCGTTAACTCGTAAACATCTAATTTTAAACAAGCTGGAAAAGTTACATTTACAGGGAATAGGACCGGAGCAAAAGTGTCAATTTTGCATCTTCTTGGGGTGACAGGGTTATGGCAGTTTTCCCACAAATTTGACTTTTTATATTAACTGTTTTGTTGTCAAATTGTTTGGTGTCCTTTATATATACAGTAAAACCTCATTAACATGAACTTGCTTAAGAAGAACTCTCTGTCAGCATGAACATAATTTTGTTCCCAGCTGGGATGTATTATTATCTGTCCCTGGTGAGCACACATTTAAAAAAAAAAGGTTTTACTGTGTATATGTGTGTGTGTATATATAATTGTTCTTTTTCCCATTCATGCATTTTTTTTTTTTACATGTATATGCTACAGGTTGTGTACACTGGTGTCCGTAAACAGGTGTACGCACAGAAAAGACTAGATTTGCTTTCTTGTTTTAGCTAGAGGCCTTTCATATTTTTGGTCGAGGCCACACAACTCCTCTTGCTTCAGACCATTTCCCCCTTTCTTGTACAGCAATACTGCTTTAATTTCTTTTTTGTTTTCAATATTTTCAGCATTTGTGTTGCAGCATTTGGTGGTTTCTTTTGTTTGAGTTCTAGTCACGATGTTATTTGGTGTCTGTCATTGCTTGCAGGTGGAAAAATATTACCTACGGGCTTTAGAAATTTACAAGAAAAAGTTGGGAGCTGATGATCCAAATGTTGTGAAAACTCAGAATAATTTGGTAAGGTTGTTTTGCTGTAGACTGCATAACATATTTCAGGGTTAGCTCGTTGGAGAAAAATTAACATTGGTCAGGGGTGCAGGTAGAGACTGAGACTACTAATAATTTGGTGCAGCATGGAGTGAGCTGTATGAGACGGCAAAGGATAGGACAGCATGGAGTGAGCTGTATGAGACAGCAAAGGATATGACAGCTCGGTGTGAGCTATATGAGACGGCAAACGAGCTATATGAGACAGCAAAGGATAGGACAGCATGGAGTGAGCTGTATGAGACGGCAAAGGATAGGACAGCATGGAGTGAGCTATATGAGACGGCAAACGAGCTATATGAGACGGCAAAGGATAGGACAGCATGGAGTGAGCTGTATGAGACAGCAAAGGATAGGACAGCATGGAGTGAGCTGTATGAGACAGCAAAGGATATGACAGCTCGGTGTGAGCTATATGAGACGGCAAAGGATAGGACAGCATGGAGTGAGCTGTATGAGACGGCAAAGGATGTGACAGCATGGAGTGAGCTGTATGAGACGGCAAAGGATGTGACAGCTCGGTGTGAGCTATATGAGACAGCAAAGGATAGGACAGCATGGAGTGAGCTGTATGAGACGGCAAAGGATGTGACAGCTCGGTGTGAGCTATATGAGACGGCAAAGGATAGGACAGCTCAGTGTGAGCTATATGAGACGGCAAAGGATGTGACAGCTTGGAGTGAGCTATATGAGACGGCAAAGGATAGGACAGCATGGAGTGAGCTGTATGAGACGGCAAAGGATATGACAGCTCAGTGTGAGCTATATGAGACGGCAAAGGATAGGACAGCATGGAGTGAGCTGTATGAGACGGCAAAGGATAGGACAGCATGGAGTGAGCTGTATGAGACGGCAAAGGATAGGACAGCTCGGTGTGAGCTATATAAGACGGCAAAGGAGGACACGAGTGAGAAGTATTGTCTGGATTTTTTCACCGGGTTACACCGATGTGTTGGGAAATGAACAGGCGGACAGACCGGCTGGCTCTGCACAACTTGGTGGAATACTGCTACATGATAGGGCAGACGTGGTTAGTGCCTTGTGGGAAAGCGTGTACAATGCGGAGGAGCAGATGGATCACCACAGTTTGGTGAGATTGATGCAGTTGGGGGTGACGAGGGGTTCTGGCAGAAGCTCAAGGCTCAGAGGAAAGGCAAGAAAGACGTTTAATCAGAAAGCTACTGGCAACATTAGTATCGGAACTCTTCGCTAGCTGCTGAAGATGGTGACGGAGCGCTTATGGGAATGCCCCGAGTGCTGTGATGTCGGTTCTTGAATCAAATCAATCAAATCAAATCAGAAAAAAGAAGAATGTTGTAACTAAATGTCAGTAGTAAAGATTAGCCAGTTGTATATGATCTACGTTGTAACTAAATGTCGGTAGTAAAGACTGGCCAGATTTATATATGATTTACTCTGTGATATATAATCTACACTGTAACTAAATGTCAGTAGTAAAGACTTGCCAATTTATATATAATCTACATTGTAACTAAATGTCAGTAGTAAAGACTGGCCATAATTATCTATAATCTAAATTGTAACTAAATATCAGTAATAAAGACTAGCCAGATTTATATATAATCTACATCTTAACTAAATGTCAGTAATAACGAATGGCCAGATTTATCTATAATCTAAATCTTAAATACATGTCAATAGTAAAGACTGACCAGATTTATATATAATCTACATTGTCACTAAATGTCAGAAGTCAAGACGCCACGTTGTAATTATATGTCAGAAAGTATGAACTTACACACATGTGCACAGACACATGCATACACACTGTTTAAGACACACAACCACTGTTTAGCACAGGTAGATACAATAATTAATGAGGCTTGGTACATCTTGCCATCAGTCGCCATTTAGCGTATGCTTGTTAGACGTTGCAGTTTTTATTGTTAAGCAGTTTCCTTTTGATTTGCTAATCAATGCTGCATTTTGCTGTACTGTTAACATTTTACTCTTTAATTTATATTATGGGACGTCGCAGGTCGACCCAGCCTAAAATGGGTACCAGGATGGGCTGTCCTTGGAAAGTAAAGACAGCCGGCGTAATGCTGACCACATTACCCACAGAGTGCTGATGGTCTGTAAAAATATGGGACGCTCTGCCCATATGCCCGATGCGCCGAAAGGCGTGAAAAGGGATCTTTACTTTTTACTTTTTTTTATTGGTAAGATATTCACCAAAGAGAAGGCTTTTGAGACATTTAATAATTGTTGAAATGTGTGTTAGATATTTGTAATTGGTCAGGAGACGGTTAATTAGTCCTATTTTAAAAGGAAGGTGCACTGTTGAACTGTTCTAACACTGTGGAGGTATTGAGGATCCTGACTCCCAGGTATGAGGCAGTTGCTAGGGGTGACCTCATAGTCCATAATTATTGAGCAGTCTCGGGACAACAATCACAGTGTTACTTGATATTTTTGCATAGCGATTGGTACCACCTGTTCTTTGTTAACATTAGGTGTTGAGCAGAGCGAACCTACCTGGCATCCAACTTAGGCTTTTGGCTTCGTGCAGGCGAGTACATAGGGGAAGATACTAGCCTTATCCTAGGATGAAGAAATTCAACCTGGAAACTTCATGTATGGCAGGGTATACTGGACCCTTAGCTTTGGTTACCAGCTGATCTAGGATGGAAGCTCTGACAGCCCGACAGGCAGAGCACACTGCTTTTCTGATCTGGCAGCTTCCGCAGCATGCTGTATTACAAATGCACTGGTGTTACCTTGCCTTTGGAGTAAACAAGGCAGGTTGAGAGAGGGATCATGTGGTGTGAGCAGCGTATGGTCTCCACAGTACTGCCCAGGCTTTGTGCTGTGGAGAATAGGAACTTCATCTCTAGTCTTAATAGGTCTTGGAATCAAATTGATAAGCAGCAGTTATAGATTATTTAACTATTTTGTTATCTTCGGTTATATAACAATATATAGATTAGTCCTTGTCAGTTGGCATTGACGATGGCGCCACAGGCTGCTTCTGATGATGGGAGATATTCGTTAATGTCACTGATTAGCTACTACCTGCCTTAAGCTGGGCTGCACATGCACCCATGCTAACATAAACCGAGGATACAAAAGATTCTTTTTATGAGGAAGGGGATAATACAGTGAATGTAATTCCTAAATCTGATGGCATCTACATGGCCAGTTTTGCATGATTTTGGTCATATGAATGACAATGGGCAAAGGGTTTTTAAAATTCTGCACTATAAATGATATGTGAATCCCAAACACATTCTTCAAAACAAATTATCACAAAAGGTAACGGAAACATCCAGCTGGACCTTTATTATCACAAGGAGGCAACGTTTGAATCATATGTAACTGAAATATGTTGGCAGAACGTTTGAATCATATGTAACTGAAATATGTTGACAGAACGTTTGAATCATATGTAACTGAAATATGTTGGCAGAACGTTTGAATCATATGTAACTGAAATATGTTGGCAGAACGTTTGAATCATATGTAACTGAAATATGTTGGCAGAACGTTTGAATCATATGTAACTGAAATATGTTGGCAGAACGTTTGAATCATATGTAACTGAAATATGTTGGCAGCATTCAAAGTCATTGAAGAACATCTGTATCGGAAATATTTACAGTGTTTCCCTGAAAATAGGACCTAACTGAAAAATAGCACCTAGCCTGATTATGCAGGTAATATAAACCCTACCACAAATATAAGCCTTATTTAAGATTGTCAGCCTGGCGAAAGGATTTCGTTTTTCTGTTGAAACATACAGTGTACTGATTTAAATTAAAGAAAATTAACATTAAAAAAATATTATTGATAATTTATAAACAAATGTTAGACAGTGGAGAGATACCATATAGGCAGATGAACAAAAACTTGGAGTCATAAACTTGAAAGAGAAGACCTATCGCAAAGATGAAGATAGGCAGGTGATATCTGCAGCAGTGACCTTCAAGGCCATAATGCTGGAGAAGAATATATGTAAATACCCAAAAAGGCCTTTTTTTTTTTTTCATAAAAATAATTAGATGTTCCCTGGCCCTAATGTAACTTACGGAGCTAAAAAGAAAATAAGACCCTGTTTTATTTTCAGGTAAACACAGTAGTTAGAAAAGTTTATTGCTTATCTTTTACAGGACGCCGCAGAACCAACCCCAACGTTTTTTGGCTGTTGTGGTTTTTCTATACAAATTTTACATTCAGTAGTGCCCCCGTGTGGGTTCCGGGGCCCTATTGTGGGGAAAACAAGAATAGACCCACTGCCTCCCCAAAAGCATGTCGTAAGAGTCGACTAACTGGGGAGCTTCCTTTGAAGTCGGAGTGCATCTGCCTGAGAGGCAAGGAACCAGCAGTCTGCATTCAATTGAATCAGATCTGTAAAACTGATGCACATGCAACACTCAGGTTCTGGAGCATGACTGCAGTTCAGTAGTGGACGAACAACCAGAACTTTACGCCAGAGTGTACAGCTGGTGAACACAAAGAAGAAGAAACATTCAGTAGTTTGCCGTCGCCTCTGAACGGTCAGCTCTCGGTACTGTGGCGAAACCAACACAACATAAACTGTCCACAGCCGGGATTGAACCCTGCACTCTGGCATTACAAAGCATGTTCACAACACCTAAGCCACAGACACCAAATTAGGCTGTAGAGAGGCATGGTTACCAGTCCCACATAACATTGACTATAAAAAAAAAAAAAAACATTAACGCTCAGAATTATAGGCTGTGAAAAGAGAGAATGGTTTGTCTGTCTAATGAAATGATTTATGTATTTTTCCAGGCGTCTGCATATTTAAAGCAGGGAAAGTACAAGCAGGCGGAAGTGTTGTATAAAGAAGTGTTAACACGGGCACATGAAAAAGAATTTGGAAAAGTGGAAGGTATGTTGATGTTACATTATTCTCTTCTGTTGATGAGATTTTATTTAAGTATTTCTAAATGTATGTTGATGGTTAACAGGTAAAAGGTATGTTGATAGTTTACAGGTAGAATGTTAATAGTTCACTGGTAAAAGGTATGTTGATAGTTTACAGGTAGAACGTTAATAGTTCACTGGTAAAAAGTATGTTGATAGTTTACAGGTAGAATGTTGATAGTTCACTGGTAAAAGGTATGTTGATAGTTTACAGGTAGAACGTTAATAGTTCACTGGTAAAAGGTATGTTGATAGTTTACAGGTAGAATGTTGATAGTTCACTGGTAAAAGGTATGTTGATAGTTTACAGGTAGAATGTTGATAGTTCACTGGTAAAAGGTATGTTGATAGTTCACTGGCAGGAGGCATGTTGATAATTCTGTAGTAGAAGATTCTTGATCTGCCTCATGGTCTACTACCACTCAGCTTTCTTATGTACATAGTTTGTACCTCTCTGCCATCTGACATTCTTTCAATATACACCACCATTTAAGTCTGTTAGCCCTCATGATGCCATTGATCACTGGTGGTTAAAACTGATTCTGAACCTTTGTTGTTGCTTCTCTGTCTCCATTCCCCACTGTTTGCATCTTTGATGGGTCCAAACATTCATCCTAAGACTTTTGCTTTCAAAGATTTGTAATAAGGCTTCATCTCTTTTAGTTGTGCTTCAAGTTTCAGAGCCATATGAAACAACTAGACTTAAATAACTTTTTCATTACTTGGTGAAATTCTGCAAAGGTGGGGGGCGTCAGCCTCATGGGTCAACCCCCTACCTGGAGGACCATGGTCAACCCCCTACCTGGAGGACCATGGTCAACTCCCTACCTGGAGGACCATGGTCAACCCCCTACCTGGAGGACCATGGTATCTCTCTTTGTCTGTTCTCTACCCTTTGATCTGTCTTGCTTCGGAGGTCGCTGGTAGCTATGCTACCACCGGTGTAGCTCTCAGGGTCATTGAGAGACGCAAGCTCCCTCCCCACTGAAGTTGTTAATAAGTTGACAATATCACACACAAATTAAAGGATTTCACGCTGAGAAATTGATAATGTAGGGAATATTCAGACCAGCAGTCTTATGAATGTTTGTAAATTTATTGTTAAGCAATAACGGATGCTGTTTCATTTCAGGAGAGAACAAGCCAATATGGATGAGAGCAGAGGAAAGAGAAGAAAACAAGGTAACTGCCACATTGGCGTGTCAGTAAATTATTTATAAATATTGCATCTTTCTTATTTATATATATTGATTGAGGAGTCACAAAAGACATGCCTTACAAAGGAAGCAGTGGTTGAGTGAAGTTTTTAAATCCGCATCCAGGTATGGAATTAAGAATTTTAGAGAATTTTTTTTTGAATTTCCAATAAATTGCATTTTGTCTCCTTTATCCCTGACAAAAGAACTACTTGACAGTACTCATCGTCTTTTGAAGTATACTTTAAATATTCTATTGTGGGTACGTTTTGTGATGTACAGAATATTGCCTGTACAATGCCCCCTTGGCCAGATAATTTTAATTTCCAGCTGTCAAGAGATGATCTTCACATGCAGCATGTTCTTATTGGAAATACTTGATGAAAGGGAAGACATTCCTCGCGCGTGCATGTGGGAGAGAGAGAGGGAGAGAAAAAAATTACCACCTTGCTTTGTACTCTCTTTTTTTTCAAGCTGGAGGTGGTCTGAGCCACTCCACCCTTTTATATATTCCAATTGGGGTCAATGTGGTCTTGAGGCACGGCATCTGCCACGAGTGCTTAAGGTCCTGGGTTCAAGCCCCGGTAAAGGCTGTGATTTTTTTTCACGTGGACTTATTTCCCCTGGTCTCCGGGTAGTAAAATCGGCTGCCCGTGCGTATTGTTGCACATGAAAAAAATCCTTTGGCAGTTAGAAATTGAAAAGAGTAGCCTAATGGCGCTGCCTGGGCAAAATTTGGAGTTGAAAATCCCAAAGTATTTCAGGATCCTCACTGGTGCTACAGTGTTTGTGCACTGTGCTGAGATTCTTCGGACTCAGGCTTGAGTTAAAAGTAGAACGGAGCACTTATGGGTTACTGCCTTTAAGCCATGATGTTGTTGATCTGTTGCATAAACCATAAACCCTCTCACATATACCAGTTTCATAATCAGATAGGCTGATCAGCTGCTTTTCTCACACACCTTCCTTGCGAGAAGAATTGTTGATTCTTTCTTTGGCAGACATAACACTTGCGCCATATTGGTTGGAAAGCATCCACTTCCAATAAAGAATTAATCCCACGACATATTATTGGTAACTGGATGTGTTAACTCTTATGCCAAAACAGTTTATCTTTAAATATACAGAGATTTTACTGTTTTCTGTTTAAAAATGAATGTCATTTGCAGCCTAATTAAATTGCAGGGCAAGACTAAAGAAGGACAGCCCTTACCAGAATATGGCGGCTGGCATAAAAATGCTAGAGTTGACAGGTATGTCCTGTTTCACAGCCTGTGTAAAGTTTTAGATATAAATTGCACTAGTAAGACCATTTCTTGAACATGGTGTAACACATAGATTTTGGATGGAAAAAACCGACACAAAGAAGTCAGTTGTAAAAATCTATCTTAATAGGGATTCAAACTTAGGATCAGCAGTACAACAGGAATTTTCTAGCCACTGCGATATCAAGACTTCCTATGTGTGTATGACAGAGATGATGATGGTTGCTCATATTTTTTTTAAATGGAGAGCTAAGGGTCTCGAGGTATGGTGTCCGCCTTGAGTGCTGGATGTCCCGGGTTCAAGCCCTGGTGAATGCTGGGATTTTTTCACGTGGACTTCTAGTAATTTTCAATGGTCTCTGGGTAGTAAGATTGGACGCCCGTATGTATTCTTGTGCACGTAAAAAAATACCTTGGCAGTTGGAAAACGAAAAGAGTAGCCCAACGGCTCTGCCTAGGCAAAACTTGGAGTTCAGAATCTACTCAAAGTATTGGATTGTTTATTTTTCCTTAAATAGATGCCAGTCTCTTGTCTTCATCATCCTTCATGGGCCATGAGACGTAAAATAGGGCTCACATTCGATTCCTCCACTCCTGCTCAATTGCATGCAGCTTCCTTGATTTCGGACATGGAGATCAGCCCACCGGTTTTGTAGCTTCTCATAATAACGGTCTTCTTAATGTTCCCCTTGGATGTTCTCTTTTTCTCAGTTCATTTGTTTCTGATTTTAGTGCTTGTTTTGTGATTCTTTGCTCAGTTCATCTCAGAGGGTCACATCAAATATGTCTCCACCTTCATTGTCTTATTGGAGGCGATACAGAGATTTGTCCAGACATTTCTCTCTCTTCACTTTTTTAAAAATTCATCCCATTTTGTGTTCATGGTTTTTCTCAGACATTTATTTTCATATGCATTTAACTTTCGTTCCATATCTTTAATAGTTCTCCAACTTTCACTAGCATATGTTAGAATTGAAATAATGTTTGAACTGAAGATTTGAAGTTTAGTCTTAAAGCTGTATAACTTAGAGCTCCATTTTTTGTTAAGGCTTTTAAAGACTGTTGTTGCTTTGCCAGTGTTTATCATTCTTTCCTTCGTTATATCTCCTTGTCAAAATTGTTGCCCAAATAGATTAAATGATTTGTTACTTTTATTGGCTTATTCTGTAGAATGGTTAGTAGTGTTGCCTTTGCAGGACGTTGCAGAACCAACCCCAGCAGCCCCTGGCTGTGGTGTGGTTTCTCTAGGCAAATTTACATCCAGTAGTTTGCCATTTCTTTGTAGACAATCGGCCCCCTGATACCACTGTCGAAACCAACGCAAGGCACATTGTCTGCTGCTGGAATCAAACCCGGCACTCCAGCATTACGAAGCGTTCGCATCGACTTAGCATGGTATCTTTAATATATTTTAAAAATTTATTTAATGGAGTCTCTTGTCTTACCTAGGATTAAACACAGATCACTTGGTCTGCAAGACAGCTGTCCTAGCCCCTTGGTTAATCACAAAAGTATTGTTAGTTTTTAGCAGGTGCCTTATTGATATATATTTATTTGCATTTTAGACTGAAGTTTGTGACATTTGTATGAGTTGCAATTCTGTTTGCCTAAAGTTTTATTGCATTTTTGTGAGATCTGTTCTGTTGGCTCAAGTTTGTGACAGTTGTTTGAGTTGTCACTTCTGTTGGCTGAACTTTGTGAGTTGTCAGTTCTCTTGGTCTGACCAAAGTTATGAGTTGTGTACATTGTCAGTTCTATACCAAAGTTTATGACAGTTGTGTGAGTTGTCATTTCTACTGGTTTGACCAGGGTTTATAACAGTTGTGTGAGTTGTCAGTTCTACTGGTTTGACCAGGGTTTATGACAGTTGTGTGAGTTGTCATTTCTACTGGTTTGACCAAGGTTTATGACAGTTGTGTGAGTTGTCATTTCTACTGGTTTGACCAAGGTTTATGACAGTTGTGTAAGTTGTCAGTTCTACTGGTTTGACCAAGGTTTATGACAGTTGTGTAAGTTGTCAGTTCTACTGGTTTGACTAAGGTTTATGACAGTTGTGTGAGTTCTCAGTTCTACTGGTTTGACTAAGGTTTATGACAGTTGTGTGAGTTGTCAGTTCTACTGGTTTCACCAAGGTTTATGACAGTTGTGTGAGTTGTCAGTTCTACTGGTTTGACCAGAGTTTGTATGTTGTCAATTGTACAGGTCCGACCAATGTTTATGACATTTGAGTTAGTTTTCATTTCTACTGGTTTGACCAAAGTTTATGACAGTTGTGTGAGCTCTCAGTTCTGCTGTTTTGGCCAAAGTTTATGACATTTGATTGGTCATTTCTATGCCAACATTTATGACAGTTGTGTGAATTGTCAGTTCTACTGGTTTGATCAAAGGTTGTGAGTTGTCAATTCTACTGGTCTGATGAAAGTTTATGACTGTTGTGTGAGCTTTCATTTCTACTGGTTTGACAAAAGTGTATGACAGTTGAGTGAGTTGTCGCTTCTACTGGTGTGACAAAAGTTTATGACAGTTTTGTGAGTTGTCAGTTCTGTTGGCTAAAGTCTATAAAACTGACAGTTGTGTGGTTTTTTATTCAGCCCAACAGTAACCACAACTTTAAAGAACCTTGGTGCTTTGTACCGGAGACAAGGAAAGTATGAAGCTGCAGAAACTCTAGAGGAGTGTGCCTTGAAGTCCAAGAAAAATGTGAGTGTCATTTATCTCTCCCACTAAAAGTTTTGAGGTGACATTTGAGTGTTTGCTGAGTGACATGCTGTCTGTCGTTTAAATGGTTTCCTTTTCATTTGATTTTTTTGATTAATTTATAGAATCTAATTGTCATCAGGAACATTGTCTGCAATCTTCTTCTTGTTCGCATTCGCCGGCTGTAAACTGCAGCAAAAAGTTCTGGTTGTCATCCAGTTTTGGACTTAAGTCTTGTTCCAGAACCCGAGTGTTGAATGCACATCAGTTTTACAGATCTGTCTTATTTTTATGCAGACTTTTTGGTTTCTTGCCTCTCAGGCAGATGCACTCTGGCATCGCAGAAAGCGTGCGGCTAGTCGACTGTTACGACATGCATTGTGTCCATTCTTGTTTCCCCCCATATGTGGTCCAGTAACCTAGACGGGAAATTGTTGCAGTGAAGGTTAGCTGTAATGATTCTTCAGGGCACTTTATCCTGTATCTTTCTAGTACACCCATTTAAGCTTCTTTAACTCTGTTTCTTTATGTTGTCCACCCATCTATAATGTTTTTCTTGTGTGCTTCACCATATTATTTCCTTTCAAGACATTCTCTAAGTAAGACATCTCTTTCAGTATATCTGAAGTACCTAATTTTGAAATTGTGAAAGCTACAGTATTTTTCTCTCACATTGTTCATTCACTGTCAATTTTTTCTGCAAGATAAAATCATTTCTTTCATCGCCCAAGCGAGCATAGGCTCTGAGACAGTAAAGATCAACCCCTTGGTAGAATTGTTCATTAGTTACATTTTGCAGCTATAAAATAAGATAGCTAGTTTTGCTGCAACTCTCCTTAACTCTGTCACAAGAAGCCACCGACACTGTCAGTAGGATTCAGTGCCCCATAAATGGCACTTAACTGACTTTTCTACGGTGGTGTGTTTACAAGACATCTAGTTACCCTCATTCGTTGTCTTTATGCAGGCGCAGCGTTTAGGAGGTCAGGAAATTAATATATTTACTACTATTTAAAAATTGCGCTTGTTAACCAAATGACACAGCTGTGAAACAAACTCACGAGGCATACAGCTTGTAATTTATGGCAAATGTAGCACCTGATCGCTATGTTTTTTCATTTTGAAAGTTGCTTTGGCCATTTCTGTTATATTTATAGAAATTTTTAATTCCTAATACAGTGTTACTGCTCTATTTTATGACATATATTGTATTGACTTCATCAAATTATGTTAGTCTTATGTAATCAGTCGGCATTGAAGAACAGATCTGTGGCCATTGTTGGTGTATGGCAGAAGGGTTTGACAAGGATTGAAATAGCAAAGTCTCTATTGCCAGACAGTTAAGACAGTGTTCCAGTTGAGGATTGTTTGTTTACAACATCCCTGTCAAAGTAATTGGTTGGAATTACAACAATTACGTTAGAGTGACCTGTAATAAACCTGGATGTGAATGTGGTTTTGATTTTTCAGTTTTGAGTTTCTGTAAGCAAGATTGTAACTTTTATACCAAGAATTTGTGTGTGTGTTTAAACATGTGTTAATTAAGCAGGAGACATACCTGCTTTCTTTTTGAAAAGCGTATAAAGCGTTTGAAATAATCAGTTGTGCATACTAAATTAAAAGAAGAGGAAGACTTAATATTTTTGGTGTCAGCCTGGTTTTTCTTTTCCTGGGTGGCAATTATGATCTTATTTCATCTGTTTACAATGCATAGAGAGCCATGGGATGCTCAGGGGCTGCCATGCTTGCCTTCTTGTCCAGTGATCAGTGATCATTTGTTTGATGTTTTTTTTTTTTTAAGATTTAGGCTTCCAGGCCAGCCAGATCTAAAACTGGTGTCAGAAAATGTTGTATGAAGTGGAGATGATATTGTCCATATTGCTTAACAAATACTGAATAGTTGGGGAGGGGGGTGGAGGGGGCTAACACCATATATCTAATACATCTCAAGGCATGGAAGTTATGCTCAGTTAAGAACGAGCATCATAGCAATCATAATGCCATCTTCAGCAGCCATTCCGGAGATAATTTCTGAAGGTACCAGCACAAGTCAAGGTCCCTTTACAGGCCAGTTGCGCATGGGCATATGAGGCTAGACTCGTGTTTGTGTAGACCAGGCGGCTCTAGGTGGGTGATGTGGTCAACATCACGCCAGCCGCCTTTACTTTCCAAGATTTTACCTGGTACCATTTAAGGCTGGGTGGTACCATTTAAGGCTGGGTTGGTTAACCTGGGAGGCAAAATCGTGTTTTTGAAAGAAAAAAACATCCGGCACCACGTGGATTTGAACCTACTACCTTTGAAACTGCAGGCGAGCACCTAGCCGCTACATCACAGCAGCTCCTGATGGCACCAGTAGCAGCCTGAATTAAGTGTCCATCTTGCATTTTCTTTTGGGTGTTGGCCAGGTCCTCTGATCGCACCCCACTGCACCCTTCTCTTCAGGCTCGTGCCTGCATGTTTTCAAGGCATTTAAACAGATCCTAAGCTAGATTCACTGTTGTTTGGGTTCATCAGCTGTAAACTTTGGTGGCAAGTCCTGGTTTTTTATCCATTTCTGGACTTTGGCTTTGTTCTAAGACCAGAGTTTTGTGTGTGCATCTGTTTTACAGGTCTGGCTTTTTTGCAGACTGTTGGTTCCTTGCCTTTCAGGCAGGTGCACTTCGAAGGATAGACTTACTTCCTGTGCATACATTGTTTGTGTGAGAGAGAGAGAGAGAAAGGGCTGTGATGTGTAACTGAAGTGACATTACTAGTACTGATGCTGCAATATCCACTCATGCCATGAACAATAAAGTAATTTCCGCAAGCACAACTGCCTTCAACAATACTTGTGTGGTGGTGCTGGTGGATGCCGCATACAGCCCCATCCCTGCTCTGATCTAGCTGTTCACAACCAACAGGGTTCTCCATTCTGCAAAAACATCTCTGCTCACTGTAGGATTTCAAACCATTCTCTCAGAATTATTTCCACTAAGTAATATTTTTTTTCTGGCATTCTTTGTTTTTTACACTATAGTGTCCATGTCTTGCTCCACCAATTAATTGTCCTCTAACATCATTTTTTCGTGTCATTGAAACTCTGTACATTATATCTTTATATTTATTATTTTAGTGTCTTTTTTTGTTTGGACAGGTACAACTGTGGTTTTAGCTTGAAAGAACATAAAATTTTCCGATAAAAACAAATGCTTTTTGAAAGAAAAAACTTTTTTTTTTTTTTTGGTAAGCTAAATGTTTTTTCTTTAAACCTAGCTAACTTGATTGTAAAACAATAAATATAATATTATGGACAAGCGACACTGCTTCTGTTTTTAGTATTCAAAGTAGAACTGTTGATAATAATTATTTGATATTTTAATAAACACCCGTCAGGTAATTGTATTTTTAAAAAGTCAAGCAGTATAATATGCAGATACACAATTATGGTTCATTTGTAATTTAAAGGCTGCAAGATACGCTGTGGAGAGTAAACCATCAACAAGTCACAGTAAAGAGTAATCTATAAACTATCAACACATCACAGTAAAGAGTAATCTATAAACTATCAACACATCACAGTAAAGAGTAATCTATAAACTATCAACACATCACAGTAAAGAGTAATCTATAAACTATCAACACATCACAGTAAAGAGTAATCTATAAACTATCAACACATCACAGTAAAGAGTAATCTATAAACTATCAACACATCACAGTAAAGAATGATCTGCCAGCCAAAAAGGAAAATATTAGGAAGCATTGAATATGAACATAAATTATGAATAGAGCTGCTGATAATAGGGCAATTAGTGATATGGTCTGTATTGTAATAGTAAGTAACAAATCCTTTCACAACTCTTGGCGCTTCTGGCATATGGTGCGAGACCTGAGTTTTCATAGACCCGTCGGCACATTATGGATGATATGGTCAGCATCACCCCTTCCAGCTTTACTTCCCAGGATATCACCTGCTACCCATTTTAGGCTGGGTCGCTCTGGAAGTTCAGATAAATTTTGAAAAAATCTGCCATAATGTGGGTTTGAATCCTTTTGGGGCAGCAGACACTACACTACTGCACCTTCCACTGTAATAGATCTATAGATAATAAATCAGGTTCTCTCTTACTTATTTTTATAGTTTTCCTACTTTTTGTTACCACAGAAAACATTTTGTCCTAGTCATTTTAATCTACTTGAATGTTTTTCACTGAACATAATATTTTAACCATTAAATGTGTACCATATTTTTTTTTCTTAAGCATATCTTAACCCTGCACTTGATTGTATTTCTTGGCTGTTTCAAAAAGCCTTTGATACTTAATAGTTTTCATTTTCTTTTTGTTTGGTTCTGCAGCGTTGCTACTTCTAGAACTCATCGCCTAGTGTTTTTTTTTTTTTTTTGATTTCTTGAGTTCATTTGCAGCAATTAACTTCTTGTTGACTGAATAATCGAACACGCCTTTCCCTGCACGAAACTGTAGCTTCCGTATTGCATTATGCATGGTTTGCAATGGTATGATATTTAACACGAGTATATGTCTTTCATTCTGAAATGTTATGAATGTTTTTTATGATAGGTGAGGTTTGTATGCAGGCAGCCCTGCAGCCACACACAGGATCATCTCATATGGTTGTCCTGTATAATCCTGTATGGTTCATTTATAGTGTGTTTGTTCTTACTAGGAGAATACTTTACATGTCTGTTTAATGAAAGTTCAGTGTGTTTACAGCGTTCTGTTGACAAAATAAACATAAATATAAAGGGCATTTTGTAACATGATTTCACCCTCCAGATGTGTCTTCATCATTTTAAATGCACCAAGTTAAGGAAATCTTGTATTTAAAAAAGAAAGGGGTGGTGGTGGGGGGGGGGGGGGGGGGGGGGGGGGGTTTCAGTGTGATCCATTCCTCCTGTTGTGTGTGGAAAGGTTTTCTTCTTCTTCCTCCTCCTCTTCTTTTTTTTCTTCGCATTCACCAGCTGAAAACTCAGGCTGAAAGTTCTGGTTGTTTATTCACTTCTGGACTTTGTCGTCTTATTCCAGGACTTGAGTTTTGCATGCACATCTGTTTTACAGATTTAGCTTTTATATGCAAGCTGTTGGTTCCTTGCCTTTCAGACAGATGCACTCTGACTTCGAAGGAAACTCCCCTAATTAGTCACCTTTTCTGACATACTTTATCAGGGGGGACAGTTGGTCTATTCTCCCCTGCCCCCAATGGAGCCCTGGAGCCCACACTGGAAAAATATTTGTGAAAATTAGGGCTTTTGGATCTGTTTCATGAGGTATGTAAGGCTTGTGATTTGTGCTCAGATAATATGTGGATTGTGGTTTGTGCTTTCTGCCTGGTGGTGAACAAAATTCGTCTTGCTGGAAAACTTTCTTCAGCTATCTTTTTCTCCGTCTTTTCCCAGTGTCTTAGTTACTCTGCATATACTGTCTTCTTCAGCTGCAAGATCGGCCTCGGTTTTTTTGTCCACCTGTTATGTTTTGTTACATTATTTTATCAGCCCTTCTACTTTTTGTTTATTAGTTAGTGAGTACACTCAGGGAATTCCCCTTTCAGTTTGCTTAAGAATTTATGTTACTCCTTTCCTACATTTATTTTCAGGTTACTCCTTTCCTACATTTGGTTTCAGGTTACTCCCTCCCTACATTTGTTTTCAGGTTACTGCCTTCCTACATCTGTTTTCAGCATAATGTTTATGCTGCTTGCTGAATATAACATACCAGAGAGATTGATAAGATGGGAAAAACTGGGAAAAGCATAAAGTTTATATCAGCTTTGCAGGTTCAGAATGGATGAAGACTGTTTGTTGTGTCTGAAACCTTAACAATCCCATTCACCAAATGTTGCTTCCTATCTCTGATAATTTTGGCTAGAGTTTAGTTACAAACTCTTTTAGAGTTTTCCTGACACAAATTCGGTTTCATTTCTTTGGTCAACTTTTCTGGCTATGTAGGCATTGACTGTGGGTGGAAAGATCGGCAAACTGACCACAGATCTAAGCGGCGCTGACACCCCGCCTGCTTCCAATCGTGGACGCATGGCGGTGCGCCGTGAGTCCACAGACCCTGACAATAACGAGGACGCGAGTGGCGGCACCAGTTGGCTGGGGGACGGGGTGAGTATGATCACTGCCATCTGAATCAGAAAACTGTTCACACAGTACAGTCACTGCGCTGTCTTTGCAGGGCAGCATATAACAGGCTTAACTTTAACTTGTTCACAGCTGCTTATTGTTTTTTCTGTTCACTAACTTGTTCCCTAGTTTACCATATCCTGTCATGCTTTCTTAGTTGTCATTTCCATTGACTTGAACTGAACATTAGTTTCTCTTATTAAGTGTTATTGATTTTAATGAGCTGCAGAGTTTTATTAATGAGCACAGAAACAGATTAATTTTAATGAACTGCAGAGTTTTATTAATGAGCACAGAAACAGATTAATTTTAATGAGCTGCAGAGTTTTATTAATGAGCACAGAAACAGATTAATTTTAATGAACTGCAGAGTTTTATTAATGAGCACAGAAACAGATTAATTTTAATGAACTGCAGAGTTTTATTAATGAGCACAGAAACAGATTAATTTCAATGAATTGAAGTTTTTTTTTTAATGAGTACGGCACAAATTATCCCTGGGCATATTTTGCCGTATCTGATCAGATGCATTACTACAGAGTTCACCTCACCATGAATGAAGCACTAAATAGGAATCCCTTTAACTGAACTTAGACGGAAGTCTGAGATTAACTACAACTTCTGTACTGAAATTACGGTGTGACAGCAAACTATGATTTGTATATTACAGTTGAAAGGATTTATTTTTGTGCTTCCTCATATGTTGATGTAACTTCTAGTATTTGCATCCCACGTGATATGGTTAAATAAAGTATGCCAGGCAATAAATTTGTATTTAAATATGGTTCAAAGGTATTAATGGCATTTTTAAATATGCTTTGCATATTAAAGATTTTAATAAAAACTACAAATTATGGGTATTGATTGATCTTCTAATGAAGTTTGTATTGTAAGTTTTAATAACTAAGGGGAGGTTGTAATGCTGTGTTAAAATACTGAAATGGTTCTTATTAGGATAGGTTCATTTTCAGATTCATGTTTCAGACAAGTCTTACGAAAACCTGGGCCTTGTTTGCATTTAGAGCTTTTGTTTGAACCTTTGTTGTTTGCATGCAGTGTTTTATTGTGTTGTTTTGCTAGGGACGCTTTCATTAATGGGAATTTTACGGTTATGGATGCCCAGTTTAACTGGGGACATGGAAACTAGATTGTATTTAAACTTGAGACAGGAAATACTGAGAAAAAATTAAACTATTACTTTTTATGATAGTGGTGCATCGGACATATAATGCTTGTCTTATAGTTTTGTTGACCAGTCGGAACTCAATGGGGTACATCATGTCGTCGATCTTTACCTCTCAGGATGTTGCCTCATACCCATTTTAGGCTGGGTAAAACCGGAAGATAAGATCATTTTGGAAATAGTGAAAATGAGATAAATTGAAGGAATGTGCTGTTACTGGTATCAAGGAAATATACATAAAATATCATACAGAATATTGACGTAGTTGCAGATAGCTTGAAAGGGGACACGTTTAGCTGCTAATTGGAACTATAATTGGTTTTCATTATTGAAGGTTTAATGGTTTTTAGGGAGCTGTGGTGAAAAAGAAAATGCACTTGCCTACCCAGATAGAAGTCCACTTCAAAAGTGGCCAGATTTTTTCCCCAACCTGTTTGTCTGCTTGGCCCAGGCAGTCTTAAACTTGGTTTAGAATTTATTAATTTAAACAGAGGAATACAGGTAGGGGCACCAAACATTTGACAGAAATATTAAATTCTGTGTGCATATATGAGAAAATAGCTGGTAACGAGTTAGATTAAAAGAAAGAAAACTAAAGAAAAAAACATGATACATTTGTTGAGAAACAAAGGCCACATAGTGAGGGTGAATTCGACAGTGCCTTGCAGGGAGAGCTTACGGCATGAAAATGGAAACAACAAGAGTCAGAGGAAGACACAGAAGATGATGGATCAAAGAAGTCATTAACAGTCTAAAGTATTCACAATAATCACAGTCTATCCTGGTTGCGCTGGTCCTGGCTCCTGTGTTAAACTGCAGCCGCTAGCGGCACAAAGCAACTGTTGACAGTATAAAAGAAGAAGAAGATAGAAAGAAAGAAAGAAAAATATGGGAAAATAATTTAAAAGCTATCATCACATGAACTGATAAATGAAAGATACAGACAGGAACTTTAGACAGTCAAAAACCACTCATACAATTTGGCAAGTGATGTATTGATGATGATAATGTGAGAGAGATGTTTGTACTACTTGTAAGTACAACACAAACTGGAAAAGCCCAACAGAGGGAATGGAAATGATGTGCCTAAATGCAACTGAATATGCGTCCAAATTCTGTATTAGTAAAATGCTAAATACAACACCGACGGCGACCAGAAAACTCAAGGGAGAAGACAAAAGAGCAGCAAGGTCAGCATGAAACCAGAAATAGGTGGAAGGAGAAAATATGGACATGACATTAATAATAATACATGTGAAAAAATTAGGGAAAAAATCTAAAGTCAAATAATTATTCAATATTACTACATAAATATATATATCGCTGTGAGTTCATAATACTAATATGTGTGCCTAATGGCCTTTTACCTTTCGCTTTTTTCTCTTTTGTCCAACATTTTGTCCAGTTGGTCCACTTTGTTTTGCCTTCATCGCTGCCTTTTGCTACAGATAGTTGATCAATTCTTATGTCTACTCATAGTTTCCTGTCGGCCATGCCTGTTAATAAGCTTTCTTGACTTGTCTGTTGTATGTTTCTAGTCACAGTTTATGTTGTATTTAGTACTCCACTAATGAAGACTGGTAGAAACATTTTGTTGTATTTGTACACATGTTTTCCATTCCCACCAGTGACTCATTCTAGTCCCAGTTTGTGTTTAGTATTCTTGATTCAGTGCAGACCTGATAAGGAGAACTTACAGAGGACCCAAGAGAGGGGTTTTTCTTATAAGAAATTTCTTATCCTGATAAGAATTCAAGCAAGAAAAATTGCAAGGGATAAACAAATTTTTCTTCACAGTAGAAATTTGCCACATCCGAGACCCAATTAAGCGGCCTGCACCGTAAAATCCTAACTGCTGTCACATGAATTTACATTATCACTTATTCAGAAATAAAAAATAAATTATGCAGCCCTTCAAGAAACTGAGAAAAACTGTAAAGCCTTTATAGAAATTAGAAATAGACAGAAAAGAAATTGTTGAGTATGTTATGAAGAGAATTAAACTTTAAAATATAGACATCAGTCACAGATTAAACTTTAAAATATAGACATCAGTCACAGATTAAACTTTAAAATATAGACATCAGCCACAGATTAAACTTTAAAATATAGACATCAGTCACAGATTAAACTTTAAAATATAGACATCAGTCACAGATTACACTTTAAAATATAGACATCAGTCACAGATTAAATGTTAAAATATAGACATCAGTCACAGTCACAGATTAAATGTTGAAATGTAGACATCAGTCACAGATTAAATGTTAAAATATAGACAACAGTCACAGATTAAACTTTAAAATTTGGACATCAGTCACAGATTAAATGTTAAAATATAGACATCAGTCACAGATTAAATGTTAAAATATAGACATCAGTCACAGATTAAACTTTAAAATATAGACATCAGTCACAGATTAAATGTTAAAATATAAATATCAGTCACAGATTAAATGTTAAAATATAGACATCAGTCACAGATTAAATGTTAAAATATAGACATCAGTCACAGATTAAATGTTAAAATATAGACATCAGTCACAGATTAAATGTTAAAATATAGACATCAGTCACAGATTAAATGTTTAAATATAGACATCAGTCACAGATTAAATGTTAAAATATAGACATCAGTCACAGATTAAATGTTAAAATATAGACATCAGTCACAGATTAAATGTTGAAATGTAGACATCAGTCACAGATTAAATGTTGAAATGTAGACATCAGTCACAGATTAAATGTTAAAATATAGACATCAGTCACAGATTAAATGTTAAAATATAGACATCAGTCACAGATTAAATGTTAAAATATAGACATCAGTCACAGATTAAATGTTAAAATATAGACATCAGTCACAGATTAAATGTTAAAATATAGACATCAGTCACAGATTAAATGTTAAAATATAGACATCAGTCACAGATTAAACTTTAAAATATAGACATCAGTCACAGATTAAACTTTAAAATATAAACATCAGTCACAGATTAAACGTTAAAATATAGACATCAGTCACAGATTAAATGTTAAAATATAGACATCAGTCACAGATTAAGTGTTAAAATATAGACATCAGTCACAGATTAAATGTTAAAATATAGACATCAGTCACAGATTAAATGTTAAAATATAGACATCAGTCATAGATTAAATGTTAAAATATAGACATCAGTCACAGATTAAATGTTAAAATATAGACATCATTCACAGATTAAATGTTAAAATATAGACATCAGTCACAGATTAAATGTTAAAATATAGACATCAGTCACAGATCAAATGTTGAAATATAGACATCAGTCACAGATTAAATGTTGAAATATAGACATCAGTCACAGATTAAATGTTGAAATATAGACAACAGTCACAGATTAAATGTTGAAATATAGACAACAGTCACAGATTAAATGTTAAAATATAGACATCAGTCACAGATTAAATGTTGAAATATAGACATCAGTCACAGATTAAATGTTGAAATATAGACATCAGTCACAGATTAAATGTTGAAATATAGACATCAGTCACAGATTAAATGTTAAAATATAGACATCAGTCACAGATTAAATGTTAAAATATAGACAACAGTCACAGATTAAATGTTGAAATATAGACAACAGTCACAGATTAAATGTTAAAATATAGATATCAGTCACAGATTAAATGTTAAAATATGGACATCAGTCACAGATTAAATGTTGAAATATAGACATCAGTCACAGATTAAATGTTGAAATATAGACAAAAGTCACAGATTAAATGTTAAAATATAGATATCAGTCACAGATTAAATGTTAAAATATAGATATCAGTCACAGATTAAACGTTAAAATATAGACAACAGTCACAGATTAAATGTTGAAATATAGACAACAGTCACAGATTAAATGTTAAAATATAGATATCAGTCACAGATTAAATGTTAAAATATAGACATCAGTCACAGACTAATAAGCTTGTTATAAGCAAATATGAATAGTTATGTGACTTATTTGTTACAGATAACATGCTTATGTCGTTGTTATGACCTGCATGTGCCAGTTGCTTGAGCTTCTTGTTAAATCCTTGTGTCATCTTTGCTTTTGATGTGTGCATTTGTTTGTATAAAATGTCTCTTTAATAGTAACCTTTTGATTATACGGTTGTCTGTTTTTATAGTTGTTTTTAAATCTCTTGCCTACTTTCACCTCAAGCTGCTGCGTGTATTCACCGCTGTTTTCTGTCATTTCTTATGTAATTGTATTCTTCTTGTTCATTGTGAGCATTGAGTCTGCTAGAACATAGCTAGATACAATTCATTAACTGGTTGATTGATGAATTCTTTGGAAGACTTAAGTTTTGTTTTGAAGTCCCAAGTCCAATAAAATTCAGTAAACAATCATGTAGTTTTTGTTTTGTTTTTTGCTGTAATCTACATCTTCAAGCATGAGGATGGAGGTGGAGGAAATCACTGTAGCCCTGAAGTGGATAGCTGAACAAAAAAAGATCTGCAAGAGGAATCACTGTGTCTGATTCGCAGCTGGTATTGCAGAAGGTTCAGAGTGGACATGTTTGGCTTGAGTGGGGAAAAGAGCTTCAGCATGTCAGTATTACAGAGACTGACATGAATGTACTGTCCGGACATGCAGGAGTGTGATGTGATGAAAGAGCAGAAGTTTTAGCTCCTAAAGTGATAGATGAAGGGAAAGAGATTTTGGAAAAGGAAGATAATTCTTCTTCACATCTAGGCAGAGGTATGTTAGGATATATCCAGGTCTTGCTTTAGCCCAGCTTGTTGTTCGTCTATCACAGGGTTGAGGATCACTCTTTCTTGTATCCATCATGACACTGCAGTTGATTGTGGATTCGAAGGTAACTTGTAAGCCCAATATGGGCCCTAGAGAATCTAGTATAATGAGGGCAGGGAACATTGTCTTAACCCAGCACATATTGACTAAACAACATTCATAGAGGATGGTAAATTGAATGAAGAAATTAACATCCCATGCAGTAATGCAGACCAAGTATTGGAACAGTTAGTTCCCCTCCTACACATCACAAGTCAGTCTTTGTCAACCTCTTGTAAGACTTATCCATTACCACCCAGTGCCAGACATGGTGACACCAAACCAACCAGAAAAGAAAATTAGTAACCATGGAATTAAAATGTCTAAGAAAAGCTGCAGCAGTGACTAGAAGAGGCAACACCAGGAGTGAAGTCATAAGAGAAGATGGTCTGCACTTAGCTCGTACTACAAAGACAGAAAATAAAATGTTTAGCCTTAGCCCACTTAGCGAGAATGCCTTGTGACGCAGAGAGAATGTCTTGCGACGCTGTTTGTCATATGAGGTGAGGGACAGAGCACAAGGTAGACCAAGAACAAGATGGAAAGACAATAGAAGAGAAATTCTACAACAGGACAATGTGTCTTCGGTCGAGATGGCAAGAAGCAGAACCTGTTTAATCTTCCTCGATGCCTGAAGTGGTAAAATAAGAAGCAAGAAGAATAAGAAATACAGATTGGCTGGATTTCGGTCTAGTTTGGTCATGTTTCTTCGATAAATGTTAGGTATGTCTTCACCATCAGCCTATCTTCCCATACCCTCACCTTTAATTCGCAGTATTTTGTGGCATGCTTAAATTGTGTATTAATCTAACACCATTGTTTTGTTTGCATGTTGTAAATTTAACATGAACACTTTCTTGGCTTCTTCATCATTAACTGCTTCATTTTATTACTAACTTCCATTTCATAAAACCATATCAAGATTCTGTTATTTAAGTTTAGTGGATAATCTTATATAGTTTTACAAAAGTGCAGATTTATCTACATTTTGCTAATTGTTATAGTGAAGTAAATTTAGTATTATTATTTCTGTATTTAAGCAGTATTATTACGTTTATAACTACAAGTTTAAAATATGCCTTAGTCTTTCCTCTTCTACCCTGGATTTTAGAGGTTTAGGTTTCCTTATGATTTTTGTATGACTTTGGCGGTCTGTGGAAGGTCAAGGGAATGTCAGATTTTTTCTCCCAGTTAGAAGTTTGTGGGCAGTCACAAAGCATGATTTATGATGGAGAGATTTCTCACAGATTCTGGTTTTCCAACCCAGTGCCATCATGTTTCATGAGGTGGAGAATCTGTGACTAGCCCAGATTTAGATAAATGTGCTAGAACACTCCCAGTGCCATCATGTTTCATGAGGTGGAGAATCTGTGACTAGCCCAGATTTAGATAAATGTGCTAGAACAGTCCCAGTGCCATCATGTTTCATGTGGTGGAGAATCTGTGACTAGCCCAGATGTAGATAAATGTGCTAGAACACTCCCAGTGCCATCATGTTTCATGTGGTGGAGAATCTGGGACTAGCCCAGATGTAGATAAATGTGCTAGAACACTCCCAGTGCCATCATGTTTCATGTGGTGGAGAATCTGTGACTAGCCCAGATGTAGATAAATGTGCTAGAACACTCCCAGTGCCATCATGTTTCATGAGGTGGAGAATCTGTGACTAGCCCAGATGTAGATAAATGTGCTAGAACAGTCCCAGTGCCATCATGTTTCATGAGTTGGAGAATCTGTGACTAGCCCAGATGTAGATAAATGTGCTAGAACACTCCCAGTGCCATCATGTTTCATGTGGTGGAGAATCTGTGACTAGCCCAGATGTAGATAAATGTGCTAGAACACTCCCCGTGCCATCATGTTTCATGTGGTGGAGAATCTGTGACTAGCCCAGATGTAGATAAATGTGCTAGAACACTCCCAGTGCCATCATGTTTCATGTGGTGGAGAATCTGTGACTAGCCCAGATTTAGATAAATGTGCTAGAACAGTCCCAGTGCCATCATGTTTCATGTGGTGGAGAATCTGTGACTAGCCCAGATGTAGATGAATGTGCTAGAACACTCCCAGAGCTCCCCTTGTCGGTTCCTGGGTCCCATTTGTGGGGGGGGGGGGAGTTAGACCCATTGTCCCTTTCCGTAAGCGTGTAGTAAAATGCAACTAATTAGGGAGCGTTTCCGTGGAGATTTAGGCATCCACCCACTAGGCAAGGCAACAGCCTCCTGCATACAAATAAGCCAGATCTATAAAACAGATGTGCACACAAAACACAATGTTTTAGAACAGGATCAAAGTCCAGAACTTTCTGCCTGAGTTTACCGCTGATGAACATGAAGAAGAAGAAGATACTGCTTAGAGCACACTGCCATAACTTGGGCCTTATACTACCACAGGACAGAGACTTACGCCAAAGTCAGCAGTTATATGTTTTCCCATATTTAGTTTTCTTAGATCATTGGACACATTTTTTTTTTTTTGGCTTTACAATTACAACCTGTCCTGTTAGATCATCTTTTTTGTTGTTTGTTCTCTACCTTCTGTGCTCTTTCCTGGCCTCGGCAACCACCAACTACATTGTCCTATAATCTTAAAAACAAATCAGAGTGGGCGTATGCGGCGTAGTGGCTCATTCACCAAGTTGAGGGCATCGTTGAAGCGCAGCAGTGCAAAACTGGTACAGAAATTGAAAGGGAAAGGTCCAGAAGTGGATGCTGGAGGAAGGTATGCTGGTGTTGTGTATTGCTTTGTTTATTGTTCAAACAGTTGTATGGTTGGGGGGGGGGGGGGGGGGGGGGTTGAAAGACACATTTGTAAAGGCAATAAAAATGGGTGGGATTGGTTGAAAGACACATTTTCAGGCAATAAATGTGAGAGGGATTGGTTGAAAGACATTTTTCAGGCAATAATTGTGAGTGAGGTTAGTTGAAAGACATTTTTCAGGCAATAATTGTGAGTGAGGTTAGTTGAAAGACATTTTTCAGGCAATAATTGTGAGTGAGGTTAGTTGAAAGACATTTTTCAGGCAATAATTGTGAGTGAGGTTAGTTGAAAGACATTTTTCAGGCAATAATTGTGAGTGAGGTTAGTTGAAAGACATTTTTCAGGGAATAAGTAGAATCAATGGGCAGGAACATGTGATGTTGTGATTTTGCTTTGTTTATTGTCAACACAGTTGGGAATGAGGAAGAATGACATATTTTTCAAGTGATATATACAAAGTTGTGAAAGTTATGAGGATATAAGTGATAGTCAGTAGTCGCATTCATCATTGTCATGTTTCATCTCATACGTTTATAAATCGTGTCTCACCCGCCATCCAAATGGCCATGTCATCTAGGTATTGTTCGAATTTTTCCTTCCTTTTGCTTTTTTCCTATCAATCTTACAAATTGTTACCAAGCTCTTGAGACTTGTTATTTGTTGTAAACCCCATTTATGCGACACTCAGAGGAAAGACAAGACGGACGTATAATCAGAATGCCACTGGCACCATTGATATTGGAACTCTGCGATGGTTGCTGAAGGTGGGGACGGACCATTTATGCGACACTCAGAGGAAAGACAAGACGGACGTATAATCAGAATGCCACTGGCACCATTGGTATTGGAACTCTGCGATGGTTGCTGAAGGTGGGGACGGACCATTTATGCGACACTCAGAGGAAAGACAAGACGGACGTATAATCAGAATGCCACTGGCACCATTGGTATTGGAACTCTGCGATGGTTGCTGAAGGTGGGGACGGACCATTTATGCGACACTCAGAGGAAAGACAAGACGGACGTATAATCAGAATGCCACTGGCACCATTGGTATTGGAACTCTGCGATGGTTGCTGAAGGTGGGGACGGACCATTTATGCGACACTCAGAGGAAAGACAAGACGGACGTATAATCAGAATGCCACTGGCACCATTGGTATTGGAACTCTGCGATGGTTGCTGAAGGTGGGGACGGACCATTTATGCGACACTCAGAGGAAAGACAAGACGGACGTATAATCAGAATGCCACTGGCACCATTGGTATTGGAACTCTGCGATGGTTGCTGAAGGTGGGGACGGACCATTTATGCGACACTCAGAGGAAAGACAAGACGGACGTATAATCAGAATGCCACTGGCACCATTGGTATTGGAACTCTGCGATGGTTGCTGAAGGTGGGGACGGAGCACTTATGGGAATGCCCCAAGTGCTGTGATGTTTATTCTTGAATCAACTCAACCCCCGTCATGTGAGTTCTGCATCATGTGGGTTAAAAAAAAACCACTGGGTAAATAACACCTGTGGAAATCCCAGCATGTATTTAGTACAAACCCATTTTTGGTCCTCCTCCCTCCTCAGCAGCTAGCGAAGTCTCCAGACTGATGTTACCCAAGTCATATGGTTAACTACCCCTCCCACCGCCCCCTTTAGCGTCTATGGCCTGCAGACACTCCCCACTGCATTATTCACTCCAGGTAATGGAGAGCATTATGTCAGTTGTTTAATCTTACATAAACAGTTTACCTTGATTTCCATCCAGCTAGGCAAGGCAAGTAGCTTACTGTTTTTAGATCATAATGTGAGCATATGTTTAAGACTACATTGGGAATATCTTGGGCACAGGCTTATGGCCTCAGGGTTTCCACGGCTGAGTAGTTAAGCTGTTTGCTTAATGCTCTGATGAATGTGGCTTCATTTTACTGACCGTGACATTTGGTTCATCGGGTTCAGTTTTTACAGAGATCACTGAAGAATGTCACTGGAGCTGCAGAGTTTTGGTTTTTGTGCAACGCTCTTGGCTGGTGGCTAGGTTCTGGTTATGTTGATCCTCTTGACTCTGAAGCTGTTTACACTTTAGGTTTAATGCTTAGGTGCTGCACCATTTTTGGGCCTCAGTTCAGGATTTAGGTGCTGCACCATTTCTGGGCCTCAGTTCAGGATTTAGGGGCTGCATCATTTCTGGGCCTCAGTTCAGGATTTAGGGGCTGCATCATTTCTGGGCCTCAGTTCAGGATTTAGGGGCTGCATCATTTCTGGGCCTCAGTTCAGGATTTAGGGGCTGCATCATTTCTGGGCCTCAGTTCAGGATTTAGGGGCTGCATCATTTCTGGGCCTCAGTTCAGGATTTAGGGGCTGCATCAGTTCAGGATTTAGGTACTGAGTACCCACCGTCATTGTGTAGATTTTGAGTTAGTGGATAATGTAATATCCTCTTCCTAGTATTAACCCGCTGTAAACTATTGAGGAAAGTTTTGGTTGCTCATCCACTTCTGGACTTTGATCTTGTTCCATAACCTGAGTTTTGTCTGCACATCCGTTTTACAGATATGGCTTATTTTTTATGCACACTGTTGGTTCCTCACCTGTCATGCAGATGTACTCTGACTTTGAAGGAAACACCTCTAATTAGTTGCCTTTTACAACATGCTTGTTAGGGGGCAGTGGGTCACCCACCTCACACACACACACACACACACACACACACACACACAAACACACACACAGACCCACCCCCAGAATGGATCCCTTGAACCACATGGGAAGCCCAGCCCACCCAGCTTAAAATGAGTGCTTGGAACAGGAGATGTCAAAATAGCTGGCATGGCGGTAACCACATTATTCATTGTTAACTATTTGTTCTGTAACAAAGGGCAAGCCGCCGTATAGTCCTCAAGACGTGGAAAGATGCTTAACTCTATTATTCTGACCAGAGTATGTCAGACATGATGCTGATGGGTGATTTGACTCTCTGTCCCAAACAAGGCACTGTACATGACTGGGTAGTATTCTCATGTACCAGTCATGTTATGTGCATTTGTACATCATATCTTTAGTGGTGGTCTCTGAAGAACATATTTATTTCCTGCAAGGGTTGTATATATTTTGACCACTCTGGAAGTGGTATACCAGTTTGTAACTCTCTGGGACATTAGCTACGACCTTGTGGGTCTGAGAGAGTTGAGACAGTTGAATCTATCAGTGTCTAGGTTTACAAAAAAACACCTCACTAGTTTTGTGTTTGAAAAGTATTGATTAATTATATATAGTCCTGAGAGCATGTTGAGCAGTATGATGCAGAGACGGAATTAGTTTTCTTTTACACTGAAAAGCAGAATAGTTCATTAATCTGTGGTATATCTGTTCAGATTTGTATGTGCCAGAATAATACGTCTGTTACCCGGTGTAATTATTGATGGTTTCTGCATGTTAGAACGACAGAACAGCCTGATTTTCAACCAGTACAGTTGCTATATTTTTGAGAACTTTGTGTCATTAACCCTTTAGAGACTGAGCCTTTTTGCATTTTCAAATACAAAAAGACGGATCCTTTAGGAGGGGATTCTCTTAGTTTACTCACAACAGATTATGAAAAAAAAATAAAATGTTTAGTTAACATACAAAACTATATATATATATATATATATATATATATATATATATATATATATATATATATATATATATATATATATGTTTTATGTAGGAAATTGAATGAGCTAACAGAATATTTATGAATCAAACTGAAATTTTAACATTTATTTAGGTAACTATTCTGATTTGCATAAATTATGCTTTTTTTTCCCCACTTGATAACAAACATGACTAATCTAAAAAAAAAAAAAATTGGTTGCATTTTTTGATGGCTGAAATCTGAAAAATCCCAAACACTTGTGTTTGGGAAGTAAGGTCCATAGAGACCCTTTAGACATATGATTCTACTTATTTTCCTGTCTCCTGCTATGTTTCGGTTGCTATGACGCAGCAGTCCTTTTAACCGTTGTTGTGCACAGATAACCCCACACAAAAAATCAATGTAAAATTACAGAACACATCAATCTTTCTCGAAAGCCGTCATTAAAAGCCCACATGTGCAAGAAATGCGAGAAGCAATCTGATTGGCTGGGACAAAATCCTGCCAGCCAATCTCAAGGCTTGTATTGTATAGGGCCGACTAATCATCCCATTCGTCTTTTTGGCTATTTTGTGTCGGGTCGATAAATCGCCCGCGTCGTCTCCAAAGGGTTAAAACCTTCTAGTATCGTTTGAAATTACTGCTTTGCTGTTAATGTGTGTTTTTTTTATGATCGAGGCAGTAATAGTATTGCCTTAAAATGTGTTTGTTTAGCAATTAATGTGCTTAAACAATTTCCCCAAAATAATGTTTAGTACTCACATACAAGTGATCTGATGTGTTTTTGAGCATGTAGGGGAGACAGGGTGTTAGCTGATTTGTTGTTGGCTCACCCTGCTTGACTACTGAGCATGTCTGGAGGAAACCTGCCATTTGATAGCACCTCAGAGAGAACCAAGGTCATTCCAGAAGACAGCTTGCATTGATGGGTATTGGAGTCCTAGACCTTGGGGCCGACAGATGAGCATCAACACTACCAACACTGCTGCAGCTTAGTCAAGAGAAGAAAGATGCACATAAATGACTGAAATGGCTGAGCAGCAACTTCAGGAAAATAACGTGACAGAAGTTCGTTGAGTCAAAGACACCCCTCTTCTACAAGCATGTCATAAAAGGCAACTAATCAGGAGAGTTTCCTTAGCAGTTGAATTGCATCTGCCTGAGAGGTGAGGAATCAGCAGTCTGTATACAGATAAGCCAGATCTGTATAATGGGTGTGCACGCAGAACTCAAGTTGTGTAACAAGACCAAAGTTCAGAAATGGACGAACAACCATAACTTTCTGCTGGAATGTGAAGCCTGGACAGATAAAAAAGAGTAATGAAGATGTCTTGAAAGAAACTGACTCACGAAGAGAACTGATTGCTCACATTAGAAAGAGACAATCTACATTCTTTGGTCATGTGATGAGAAGGAGAAAACTGGAGTACATCGCGACGGTAGGAAAGTTGGAGGAGAGGCAGAGGGAGACCGAGAGAACAGATGCTGGACAGTTTGACATCATGGCATGAAGAATCATCTGTGCCAGAATTGATTTAAAGTGCATGAGGCAGAAGGTTGTGGATAGACATGACTACCAGCGCCACACGGCGTGGACTTGAAGTAGAAGAACATGAAGAAGAAGAAGTGTGACAGAGAAGTTCAGAGAGTCATATTCACATACATCTTCTCTCCATGTACTTTTTAGCTAAGAATACAGAGAAACAAAAATGTCATGTTTACTCTTTAATTCCAAATGCCTCTAGATGGGTTTGTTCAAATACTACAAGATTTTCTAATGAACCTTTGAATTATGTTGCCATCTGTATTTGTGCGTAACCAACTGTCATCTCTCCAATAGTCTTAATTGGCATGTCCGAGGCTATTTCAATGCCGAAAGGTTTGTGAACACTTTATTTTATGCTTGTTTCCCCCTGAAACCAGTATTTTTCCAGCTTTCTGAAATATATAGTCAGAATTTTTAAATTTTTTTTAAAATCTTCTACATACAGGGATAGCTTTTGGGATTTCAAATGTTATAAAAGTGTTATTTGGGCATTATAATACTATTCATTGCTTATTTAATTTATTTTAGTGAATTGAAGGTTTTTATGAATATAAAGTCAGAGTATTACTGTACAGATATTTACATTAATTAACTATGTTGTTGTTTCAGATAAGCTTGCGCTTTTCACTTTCCAGTATCTTTTAAACAGTGCTGCAACATTTCATAAGCATTTATACTCCATTCTTTATTTGATAGATCCTTTCTGCCCTTTATTGAAATATTGCCATACATTTATCAGATGCTAATTTGTCCGTTGAATTTTAAATATTTCAGTTTATTATGACTTAAATCAAAGGTTATAAACCGTTTATAATTTTTTTTTTTGTGTGAAGTTAATGTTAGGTGGAGCTGAGGATGATGTTAAAATAGATGAACGTAAAGTTGTTGCTAGAGGATTATACACACTTAAAACTTGCTAGCTGGTAATTTAGATGAACCTAGAAAAGTTGCTAGATGATAACACAGATAAATCTAGAATCCTAAAGCACAGTGCATTGTCATGAAATGCTTTGTTGCTAGATTGTTATAAGTCCATCATAGGAGGGCCATATTGTTTTTTTGTAATTTCCTTGGTGGGTCAGGTTTCTCATCGGACATATCTGATATAGTGAGGACAGGCATGTGATGGTCAGAATCAGATTCCTTATTCTTCTTCTAGTATCCCATTGGAGCACCTGTCCTCATCCCACTCATGTCCAAGCACTTTGCAGACTTGCTCAAGATAGATTGTTGGTTTGGTGGAGAAAAACACCGGTGTGACCAGGTTCAACCCTTCTGATAACCACTTTGATTATAATTATGGTCTGGTTTTATTTGTGCCAAATTCAGTGGCTTAATTTCCCAGTGTGGATTCCAGGGCGCTATTATGGGGGGGGGGGGGGGGGGAATAATAGACCCACTGCCTACCCAAAAGCATGTCGTAAGAGTTGACTAATTGGGAGCTTTCTTCGAAGTCTGAGTGCATCTGTCTGAGAGGCAAGGAACCAGCAGTCTGCATACAAATGAGTCAGATCTATAAAACGGATGCACATGCAACACTCAGGTTCTGAAACAGGACTGCAGTACAAAAGTGGATGAACAACCAGAACTTTCCGCCAGAGTTTACAGCTGGTGAACGCGAAGAAGAAGAATAAGTGGCTTAATTGTTTGTTGTGGCTTACTGTCCCTAGCTGTGTGTGATGATATCATTTCTAAATGCGTTTGTTTCCACTCTGTTGGTCCTGTAGCCCAACGGGGGTTTTCGTTTTACGCGTCCATCCTCTTGGCTGTGTTTCCCCTATCTTCATACTATCTTAATTCATTCATGATAGGTTAGATTTTTTTATCCAGATTTCTGCAGCATGAGATAGTCGACACTTTTTTGTTGCCTTTTATGACATGTACAATAGGGTTTCATTGTTGCTATTATTTGCCTCCCTTTGAGCCTCCCGGGGCCGCTTTTTAGTTTCCCCTCTTCTTCCTCTTTTTCTTAGCATTTACTGGCTCTAAAGTTTGATGGAAAGTTCTGGTTGTTCATCCACTTCTAGACTTTGGTCTTGGTTCAGAACTTGAGTTTTGCTTGCACATCCATTTTACAGAACTGGCTTATTTGTATGCAGACTGTTGGTTCCTTGCCTTCCTATCAGATGCACTCCAACTTCGAATCTCTAATTCTCATTTTTCTGTTTTTTCCGTCTACCTCTATTCCTTTAGCCCTCTGCCTTTATTCCTTTAGCCCTCTGAGTTCCAGTGTAAAAGGCATTCTAGCTATATTATTATTATTATCAGGTTTTCTCAACAAATGTCCTGTTTAATACCAGCATCTTTTCCCAACTTCCCAATTTACTGGAATTTAGTTTCTCTCCCAGATCTCCACATTTTTGATTTTGTGATACCATTAAAGTCCAATCTTTCTATGTGATTTCGGCTTCTGGCCCTTGATAATGAGAGATACTTCAGGAATGTTTGCTGTAATGTAGCATTTATGATTTACTGGTGTTCATTTACAAAATGGATTGACTCACAATTGTGCCTGTGTTGTTGATAATTGACTAGCGTATTGATAGATTTATTTAGTACAATTATCTGAAGGTAACTCACACCTCTATAATTGATATATTTGTTTACAAACAGTTACAGATGCTCTTTGTCTGTTTTTACTGTTGTCACTTGTACTGCACCCTTAAATGAGGTTTTCCTAGTTGTAGTAAGAAGTGATGTCATATATCTGTGTCCTGCTTCCCCAGTTTCTAGCCCCTCCCGCCAGTACTGTACCTTCATGTGTTATCACAAGCTGGCCTGAATTATCATGGGTAATTTGTTTTTCAAGACTTCAGAGTTTTCTTTTAAACTGACAAGTTTCTAGTTTTTACTTTTGTTTTTTTTTTAATTTCACAATTTGTGATTTTCTTGTTTTTAAAAAAAAAAAAAATGTGCAATGTCATACTGCCATTTATTGGTAGAAATGGCTATTTACCAGACCAAATTTTTGAGAGTTATCAGATTTCTTGTTTGTTCCTTGTCATTCTGTCCGATGACAATTATTTTTAAAATATACCCGTGTGTTCCCCATTTTTTCTTTCTCTCCACATCCCTTTTCTCTTCCAACGCGACAGAAACTGGATTCCCCTGGAAAGGTCAGTTTTCATGTTATATATAGCACTGTGCTTGCCAGTTTGAAACGATAAACACCTGACAAGGCTTGGCTCATTTTTATTTCCATTTTGTTTTTCACAAATACCAGCTTTCTTAAATACTAGCCACTTTTTTTTATAATTTAGGTCATCTTGGAGCTGTGGTTTATCCCTGGCTAGGTATTTGCTTGCTGGCCTGAAGATCTTGGGTTTAGATCCACATTAAGGTAGATTGTTAATAATTTACCTGGGCTCTCCAGGTCGACGTAGCTAAAATAAGTACTAGAAATGTCCTGGCAACTAAAACAGTCCAGCCTGATGTCCGAGCTGTGGTTTATCCCTGGCTAGTTATTTGCTTGCTGGCCTGAAGATCTTGGGTTTAGATCCACATTAAGGTAGATTGTGAATAATTTACCTGGGCTCTCCAGGTCGACATAGCTAAAATAAGTACTAGAAATGTCCTGGCAACTAAAACAGTCCAGCCTGATGTCCGAGCTGTGGTTTATCCCTGGCTAGTTATTTGCTTGCTGACCTGAAGATCTTGGGTTTAGATCCACATTAAGGTAGATTGTTAATAATTTAGCTGTGCTGCCAGGTCGACATAGCTAAAATAAGTACTAGAAATGTCCTGGCAACTAAAACAGTCCAATCTGATGTTGACCACATTAGCTGTTGAGTTCCAGTTGGTGTATAAAGATATGGGTCTAGTTCCAGTTGATGTATAAAGATATGGGTCTAGTTCCAGTTGGTGTATAAAGATATGGGTCTAGTTCCAGTTGATGTGTAAAGATATGGGTCTAGTACCAGTATGCCCATCGAGTTTTCAGGTCCTGGTGGAACAAAGACTTTTCTCAGTAATGACCTTGGCTCCCTGGTCACCCATCCTTGAGTGTGTACCAGCTGAAAGTCTTGGGAAGTAAATGTGGCCGACATAACGCTGACCACATCCACCAAGTGCCAGTTGGTCTATCAAATATAGGTGGTAGTCCTGTATGCCTGAAGGCATGGGAAAGGGTCCTTTCAATGTGTATCAATATGACTGATGTGTCACTGGCATGAAAAAGGTCCTGATGTGTCACTGGCTTTAAAAAAGGTCCTGATGTGTCACTGGCATGAAAAAGGTCCTGATGTGTCACTGGCATGAAAAAAGGTCCTGATGTGTCACTGGCATGAAAAAAAGGTCCTGATGTGTCACTGGCATGAAAGAAGGTCCTGATGTGTCACTGGCATAAAAGAAGGTCCTGATGTGTCACTGGCATGAAAAAAGGTCCTGATGTGTCACTGGCATAAAAAGGTCCTTTACTTAGTTTAAATGATGAGTATTTTAGAAACAAGTCCCTTATCCACACAGAACAGCAAGCAAAGATTCAGTACTACTTTATGTAGCTGTACGATATACTAATAACCATATTGTGGGTTAAAAAACATATCTTGCTTCTGTTCCAGTTAGAGTGATATCCGGAATGTAGCTAGTCATGGTGCTGTCACACCTGTAGGTAGCATTTCCGGAGGGGAAAATATGTACTGTTTTTGAATTAGTATTTTAAAATGGGAGCCGCAGTGTAAAGCGGGTCTTGGGTTTGAACTCACACCCGGCGGGACAGATATGGGTTTGGTAATAAAATCACCTTAGCTGCCAGTTGACCCAGCCTAAAATGAGAACCGGAAGTGTGGGAAGTAAAGGCGGTTAATGAGATGTTGACCTCATCACACATCGACAGTTTATTGGTGGTTTTAGCATAGTGGGCCTGCTGCCTGATGTGAACATTGAGGAGAACTGGCTCATAAACAGCAGCCTGTACCGAAAGCTGTGATATTTTGGCCATTTTAAACATCTGGTGGTCGCCTAGAAAGACAAAAAAGAGTGACGTTCTGCAGAAGACCTTCTTCTTCTTCTTCTTCGCGTTCACCAGCTGTACACTCTGGCGGAAGGTTCTGGTTGCTCGTTCACTACTGAACTGCAGTCCTGCTCCAGAACCTGAGTGTTGCGTGTGCATCAGTTTTACAGATCTCATTCTCTTGAATACAGACTGTTGGTTCCTTGCCTCTCCGGCAGATGCACTCCGACTTCAAAGAAAGCTCCCCAATTAGTCGACTCTTACGACATGCATTTGGGTAGGCAGTGGGTCTATTCTTGTTTTCCCCACAATGGGGCCCCGGAACCCACGCAGGGGTGCAGAGGACCTGTTGATTGATGATTGCCACTGTCCAGAGAAAGGT